CCTGTATGATGATAATAATTGGAAATGATCATGCTGGACAAGAACTGAGTGTTAAAAGCAGGTAAGGGGTATACAAAGGGATATTCATGGCATCCTTTCAGTATCTGTGTTTGTAAACCCCAGTGCCCAAAAGGAGAGAGAGAGAGAGAGAAAGAGTAAGAGTATGCCTCCCATACTCCCATAGACGCAGGCTGGGGGTGAGGGGTGGGGGTCGATGGGAGGGACACTGGGGACACTGGTGCTGGGAAATGTACACTAGTGAAAGGATGGGGGGGACGGGTGTTGGAACACCGGATGACTGAAACCTAATCATGAACAGTTTTGTCGGGGTCTATCTCACAGTGGGCTGGAGCGATAGCACAGCAGTTGGGCGTTTGCCTTGTGTGCAGCTGACCCGGCTGAGCTGGGTTCAATTCCTCCACCCCTCTCGGAGAGCCTGGCAAGCTACCGAGAGTATCTCGCCCTCACGGCAAAGCCTGGCAAGCTACCCATGACGTATTCAATATGCCAAACACAGTAACAAGTCTCACGATGGAGACATTACTGGGCCCGCTCGAGCAAATTGATGAACAACGGGAGGACCATGACCGTGACCGTGATCTCACAGTGATTCAAATAAATGAATAAAACAGTACATTTGAAACTCTAGAAAAAAAAGAATTTAATTGCAGGGTCACCCCTATTCATACAAGGAGTGGGTTATCCCACCATTTCCATCTGGGTTTGCTTCTATCCTGAATAAAATAGGAGCTCCATCTGCCCGGAGCGGGAAGGATGGATATGGAGAAGGCCCCTCCACATGTGCCACAGGAAAGGCCCAGCCTTGAAGACTGGAGGTGTCTTTGGGTTATTACTGAGTTAAGTATCAGGTTGGGCTATCTGCGTTGCGCCCTGTTCTGGCACCTGCTGCGACAAGCAGTGAACTTGGATGCAAACAACTCAGCAAAGGGAAGTAACATGGAGCTGCAGCTGGGGCAGGGGGTGGGGGTCCCAGGGCCCCTGGCCATGGTCCAGGGGTTCTGTCTAGTGCCTCTTCTATCCTGCCAGGGCAGAGCTGTATGACACTGTCACCTCTCTCCCACTGGGTGCTTCGGGGAGATTGGCAGTGGTTGGTCCCTGTCCTGCAGGGAGACAGGCTTAGGTAGGGGAAAGAGCTCTTGCATAACCAGCTGTGATGGATGCTGGTCTAGATTGTGCAATGCCTTGGCCGCTGTGATTGTACCTCGGGGCTTGGCTACTCCTGGATGGCAGATCACTTGTCTTCTCTCTCTCTCTCTCTCTCTCTCTCTCTCTCTCTCTCTCACACACACACACACACACGCACACATACTCTCTCACTCTCTCTCACACACACACTCACACACACACATGCACACACACTCTTTCACATACACATACACTCTCTCACACATTCTCTCACATTCACACTCCTACACTCTCTCTCACACACACTCTCATATACACACACTGTAGGATAACATTGGTTTGTCCTTTCTGCCTTGCCAGAGGGAGCTTAGGTTTATTGGGTTACACCCATCACAGTGCTCCCCAGGCTCTGTGTTTATCTGTGACCTCTTTCTTTGTGCTCTGCTTCCCCAATATCAATCAACTTTATCTCCTAATCAGACTCTGTTAACTTGTAAATATTGCTTTTTGCTTCTCCTTTTATGTCCTTTGCATAGTTAATTCAGAGCAATGTCCTTTTTGTATTGGCACAAGAAGACAGTTACTGCTATGCTTTTGTGACTTGGGAGTTAATTGACTCCAGATGATACTCACTCCTGGGCATCTGTTCTCTCAACTTAAACCTCAGTTGCCCTTTCTAGCACCCCAAAAGCAGGGTCCCAACAAGGGCCTGGATGGACCCAGGGCAAGCTGTGAGCTACCCTGGCACCAGAATGGACCAGGTCAAAGTGCCGTAATACTTAACTATAGTTAAGAGCATTGTCATGGACACATTCTGTCATGATCCAAAAAGTAACAGCTAGATTAGGATCCTGCTAGGAAAGACTAATCTGGCCTGAGCACTGTAATCTGGGATCTATAGTGAGATGTCCCCAGGAGAACCACCCTACGGGCTTAATGTATCTCTTACTGTGTTCATACAAAATAACTAATCTTAAGAAATAGAATTTAATCTAATATATAAAAAAAAAGAAATAGAATTTAAGATGAATGTTTAAATGGTTATTGGACTGAGGAAAGGAGAAAACCCCCTAGGTGGTATTTTGGCCTTGAGCGGATGGATCTCCTGGCTGCAGGTGATCAGGAAGGGCTTTCATATGTTGACTGCGCTACTGGACTTGGGTGTGGTTGCTACCACAAAGGTTTGGAGGGAGTTGGGAGAGACTAGAGGAGAGACCAGGACTGCAAGTCGGCAGAGAGACTAGCAAGGGGTACAGGAGGAGATGGGAAGAAGGGGGACAGGGTGAGATTGGAATGAGGGCCAGGGTGAGACTGGAACAGGCACGTGGGGAGAATGGAATAAATGGTAGTTAATCACCAATCAGCCTGGCCCGTGTTTCCTCCTTTGTCTGCCCATGGCATCGTCCTGGGCAGGGAAGCAGCCCGAGACTACCTAACGCAGGCGACAAGAGAGAACCATGGGCCTTCTTATTTGTTATATGAATACACACTCTCTCTCTCTCTCTCTCTCTCTCTCTCTCTCTCTCTCTCACACACACACACACACACACACACACTCACTCTCACAACTTTCTCACAACACTCACACAGAGGTGGAGAGCTGCTTTTCGTCCTATGGAGGTGGCAGAAAAGCTGGAGGTCAGCTGCGTCTTGATGAGAAGGGGGGAGGGGAAGCAAAGGTACTCAGAAACCTGTTCCTCCTGCAGACCCAAGGGAACCAGGTTCCTGCAGACTCTGGGTGTGTACCAGCGCAGTGGGAACATCTGTGGACACTTTGAGGTTGACAGGAGAGTCCAGTGCCACCTACTGGTGAACTCTGTTCACATTTTCACATGCATTTTCACATTTCTTCTGTTCTCTTAAATAATTCTTAAAGAATTATTCAATTTCCTCTGACAGAGGCAACTCTTAGGGTCAGAAATTTGTCCATTTGTTGCATATGACAATATGTAAAATGCTGTTTATTATTATTATTTTTTTTTTGCTTTTTGGGTCATACCCAGTGATGCACAGGGGTTACTCCTGGCTCATGTACTCAGGAATTACTCCTGGCGTTGCTTGGGAAACCATATGGGATGCTGGGAATTGAATCTGGGTTGACCATGTGCAAACGCCCTACCCACTGTGCTATCGCTCCAGCCCCAAATATTGTTTTATTTTTTAATAGATATTTAAAATAAGTAAAATGTTTATTGCATGCAGGAGTCCTGGGTTAGAGCCCTGACGCCTGGCACCCTGAGCGCTGCTAGGAGTAGCCCCCAGAATAGCTGGCATGACCTCGAAACAGAACAAAGCAACTACAGGAGATAAGTCCCAGCTCTTCTTCGGATTAGCTGAGTGTTCTTGGGTTAGTCCACTAGCCTCTTGTACCTCATTGCACTTTTGGTTTTTGGTTTTACCTGTGACAATATGTGCAGATGGAGCAGGGTTCTTAGATCTCCTCCCACACGCTATAAATATCTGAATACACTTCTGCTCTTGGGCCCAAAAGACAGGAGTGCAGGCTCAGAAGCTGAATCAGCTGGAACTGCCCCCGTGCATGTCAGACTCTGGGGGTTTAAACTTGTGACCACATGCTTGCAAGGCAGGTGCTCTACGTCCCTGTGTTATTGCGCCTTGCCAGTCTGGCTGGTAGGAAGTGGGCTCCGCCTCGCCCTTGCCCTTCTGTGCTCTCACTCCACCTGCAGAGGTGTTGTGCAGTGGGGAGGACACATCACTGCCCGGATTACCCGGGGAACTTTCGAGACAGGTGCCAGGCTGCGCCTCCAGCTGGTGCCCTCAGGATCTCATGTGGGGGTGGGGGTCAGACAGGCATCAGTGCTTATTTAGATTTGTTTGCTTTTTGTTCTGGGGCCACGCCTGGTGATGCTTAACAGCTAGACCCAGCTCGCTGATGTGTGTGTGTGTGTGTGTGTGTGTGTGTGTGTGTGTGGTGGGGGGAGGGTGTCACTCCTAGTGTTCCCTGAGGACTCTGCGGTGCCAGGGGTTTGTGGTTCCACATGCAGAGCATGCATTTCGTCTGTTGAACTCTCTTGGAGACTCTTTTTCAATTTTATTAGTTAATTCATCTTGGGGGAGCCACACCCAGTGGTGCTCAGAGCTGACTTACTTCTGGCTCTGTGCTAAGGGGTCCATATGTGATGCCAGGCATTGAGTCAGGGTTAGCCAGGTACAAGGCAAGCACTTGCTGGGTTTTCTCTCTGGCCCCATGAATGAGACTTATTTAGTTTTCAGCCACATTCAGCGGTGCTCAGGGGTTACTCCTGGCTCTGTGCTCAGGGCTCACTCCTAGTGGTTCTCAGGGACTATATGGGGTGCTGGGGATTGGACCTGGATTGGTGGCGTGCCTTACTGGATGTGCTCTCTCTCCGGCCCCTCCCATGAGTTAGACTTTAAATGTGGGGTTTCTTGGACTCTGATGACACAACAGAGATTACCCAGTGTGGGAATGGCTAGGAGTGACATCAGGACAGTGGCAGAGGGTCTTGGGCCGGTTGGTGGTGGAGGTGCAGTGACAGTGTCCATTAATACCGTTGGCTTTAACACACTTGTAGCTGTGTTACCTCCAACTCAGTAATGTATTAATGATCAGAGAGAGAGAGAGAGAGAGAGAGAGACAGACAGACAGACAGACAGACAGACATAGTGGGTGGGATGAAGAAGAGTTTAATTGGGGTGACTGGACATGGTGACCGCTGTGTGTGTGTGTGTGTGTGGCGGGGGGAGGGCCGTGGGGAGGCTGATGAAAGCCCCTTGGGGTGGTGCCTGATGCTGCTTTCCTTGACCGACCAGTCTCTTGGTAGAAACAGATCACATGTTCTAATGTGGCTCTCCTCTCTTTGTTTCTGTTTTAGGAAAACTATGAACAGATGAGAGCACTGGTGGATCAGCTGCATGAACGAGCACAGAATATAAAACTAGGTAAATGCTCCTCCCCAGCTCCTGCTTTCCTTGGCTGTGTTCCTTTGTAGGTGTTGCTTGTAGAGGAAAACGAGTAGCAGGAGACTCTGCATTTTGTCATCAAGCATTTTTTTCCTCATTGTTCCAATTTTCTGTACCTAAGCACTGCCGATATGTGGCACTGGGGGATAGAAATGAAAATTCTTCAATGTGGATCATTTATTCATCAGCTAACTATTGTTTTTAAGGTCTTATTTCAACCACAGCATAGCACTGAAAGTTACTGTCCTACTGAATGACACTAAACTTTTTATTAATCAGTATTCATACTGCACTATTAAATTTGTAGAGGTAAGCTTTTTCTGCTATGTTATAGAAGCTGGAAATAATTTCCAGGTGGGCTTATTGAAAATTAGATTTTTCGTGGCTGGAGAGATAGTGCAGTGGGTACGGTGCTTTCCTTGCATGCGACTGACCCAGATTTGATCCCCTGGCATCCCTGAAGACCTCCAAGAGTAGAGTGCAGAGCCTGGAGTGGCCCCTGAGCATCACCGGGTGTGGCTCAAAAACAAAACAAACCAAAATATTTTTCCTGAAAACTTTATAAATTGTCATTACTTTTTATATTTGGAAATGTGACATACAGAACACTTTTTGTTGCTGGAAGAAATTGTATCCTAGGGGGCTGGAGCACTCGCAGAGATCTGCCAGGAGGTGACTTCTGAGCACAGAGCTGGGAGTATCCCTGAGCCTCACTGGGGATGGAGCAAAAGAAATTTGAAAAAGGAAGCAGGGTGGGGAAGAAAATGCATCATTGTGGATCATTTATTCATCAATTAACTATTGTTCCTAAGTGTGACCACCGTCTTACATCACATGCCTGCACCCAAACAATGGCCTGTCCCAGGGAACGCCTCCCTGTGTCCTCCATGTCCCCCAGCTGGAGCTGACAACAGGAGGGAGCAGTGGTCCAGGCAACCAGCGGGCCCACTTCCTGTAGATCAGCTGCAAACCAGGACCCTTCATGCTGTTTCTCTGGTTTCTGACAAGCAATACTGTTTTCTTCTTCTTCTTCTTTTTTTAATGTAGGAGTACAGATATTTATTCAGCCATTGATTAAGCTGATTGAATTGGGCATGAACTCCACGTGACCTTTTTTTAAAAATCACCATGAGCTACAGTTACAAAGCTTTCATGTTCGAAATTCAGCTGTACAATGATCGAACACCCATCCCTCCACCAGTGCACACTTTCCACCACCAGTATCCCTAGTATATCCCCCCTCCCCATCTTAGTCCTCACCCGGCCTCCATGTCAGGCAATTTCCCAAATACCTCTGCCTTTACTTCTGGGCATTATGTTTTGCTCAAATTTTCCCACCACCATTCAAACCTGCCTGCCAGGGGCAGATGCTAGATCATTTATTATCCATTTCTCATTTTGAATTTGTTGAGTGCCATGGCAATGCGCTTCTAGAATCCTAGATTGTAAATGGCTGGGTTCCAGAGACATTTCTGTAGGGCACTAATCCATTTTGGGATTCAATTGGGCATCTCTGGACCTGGACTATTGGTGCCCTAAGATGATACCTGGAGACACATTGTGGATATGACAATCAGACCAACGATTGGGTAGGCGGGGAGCCGGGGAGGGACAGCCCACCTCCTCTGCCGCTATGCAGTATGGAGATTTAGTCCTGGAACCTTCATACCTGGGCCTTGCTTGTGGAAGCTGTCGGTCACCAGGATTCTGTCTAGAGTAGTCAAGGAGCGTGCACCTCTTCCACCTGGGGTGCCCTGATGAAATGGGTTCAGTATGGGGCTCGGAGAGATCTCCAGCTCTGTGGTGTCTTCTGGGACTCGCTGCTGTGTCTCTGGCTTTTGATCTCTTTTGAGACTTATGGGTCTCTGAAGCAAGGCTAGTAATAGAGTTTACAGGGTGGCACTGGAGTTGGTTCTTGGGGGTGACTGTGGGTGCTTCCATGTGTAATTGGAAGTTGGGGGAGGTAGCCCACCCCAATTCTGTGAAAGCCTGGAGGTGTCGGTCACAAAACCCGCATACCCGAATTTTCAGCAGATTATATATTGGTGAGGTCTGTCTTGAGATAGTGGAATCAGGCCGGGGGCATGGGGGCGATTTTGGATTGTGGAAGCGAGCGGCTGCCGGGGGGTCTGCTTAGGCAGTCCACAGGCCAACCTGTCCCCCTCCAATTTACCCCAGTCTATTCAGCCATGTACGGGTCCCAGGTTAACTGTGGCTTTTGGTCTGTTTCGTGATTTATCTATGAGTCTCTGAGATAAGGCCAATAAATGAGCTTGCATAGCTGAGCTGGAGGTGGTTTGTGGGTGTGGCTTCCACATACCTAACTTTTGGCCATTTAATTTCTTGGTGAACTTGGTCCTGAATTGTTGGGGTCTGGCCAAAGGCATAGCAACTATTTTGGGGTGTCAGGATGCCTGAAGGCACCATCAGGCTGCTGATGCACTCATCCTGCAGGTAGAGGCTGACCTGTTGGCAGCACCATACCCCCACTGTTTTCTTTTCCTTACGTTATATTTTATATATCCTGATTTTATGCACAAAACATTCCAGCACCACACCCTCTCCCAGAGTGACCACTTCCCTCCACCATTGTCCCAGTGCCATCCTCCTCCCCCTCCAGCCGTACAATCTTGAGAATCCTTGGATCCCAAGATCTTGTTCCTGATCTGCCAGGGATTCTCTACCACCGAATTAAGAAAACTCTGTGGTAGGAGCAGTGGTACAGCGGGGAGGGCATTTACCTTGCACACAGCTGACCTGGACTTGATCCCAGGTACCCCATAGGGTCGCCCAAGCCTGCCAAGAATGATCCCTGAGCACAGCTAGGAAAATACTGGGTCTGGTCCAAGCAAACCAAAAAATTTTTTAAAAGTTGTTTCTACTCAGAGTATCTTGAGAGGGTCGGAAAGGGTAAGGATAGACTTTGCGGCCAGAGCCATTGCACAGCAGGGAGGATGCTTGCCTTGAACGCAGCTCTCCAGATGCCACCCCCAGCATCCCATAGTGTCTCCTGAGCCCCATCAGGAATGCCCTGAGCACTGCCAGGTGTGGCTTCAGAACAAAAGGACGGGTCCTAGACTCCTGACCAACAGAGATGTTTGCCCTCTGACTTATGGCTGGGCATCACGTCCTCTTCCCTGAACAGAAATGTGAGACTTCTGCCGCCTCCGTCCCGGTGGCAAGTGTCCCAGAGCAGTGAAATCAGTGTCTGACTAGGGGCAAAAACAAAGGGAGAGGGAAGGAGGGGGAAATGGCATCAAAGCAGGGAACCTAAAGCAGTTAAGTAGCGTATTCTCCGGTGCCACTATTGCCATATCAGATCACTGTAACTCTAGAAGATGGTGTAACTTGAAATTGACAGTCATTTCAAAATTAAGGGTGAACTTGTGAAACAACATGAAGCCCTGCTGACTGGTATTTCGCTAGGAAGGTTTACATATTAAAAAAATTAGCATGGGAGGAGGACTGGTCAGTGGTTGGAATTTACCACAAGTGTCTGTGGGGCGGAGGGTAGATCAGACAGAGAAGGGACCAATATGATAATATTAGTTGGAAATGATCACACTGGACAAGAACTGATTGTTAAAAGTAGGTAAAGGGCTATACACGACGACCTTTCATTATCTGTATTACAAATCACAATCATTGTCCAAAAGGGGAAAGAGAGAGAGAGGGGCGGGTAGGGGGAGGGAGAGGGAGACAGAGAGGAGGGAGAGAGAGAAAGGGAGAAAGGGAGGGAGAGAGACACAGAGAGAGGGAGGGAGAGAGAGGTGCCTGCTGTAGGGGTGGGGTGGGGGGTGATGGGAGGGAAATTAGGGACACTCGTGGTTGGAAATGTGCACTGGTGAAGGGTTGGTTGTTGGAACACTGTATGACTGAATCCTGATCATGAACAGCTTTGTAAGGGTCTATCTCACAGTGACTTAATTAAAAAAAATATTAGCATAGGGCCAGAGAGAGAGGTAAGGTGCTTGTCTTGCATATAGCCAATCATACTTGCATAGGTTCAATCCCCTGCACCCACATATGGACCCCTGATCTTGCCAGGAGTGATCCCTAAGCGGAGAGCCAGGAGTAAGCCCTGAGCATCACCGGTGGGACTCAAAAACCAAAACCCAAACCAACAGACAAAAATTAATTCAGTCATGGCATGAGGGAAGAAAAGAGGAAAAGTAGTATCCAGAATCCACAAGAACACAGTTGCTAAGGTGGCTGATACAGTGTGGAGGAATTGAACCCACGTTCCCTGAAACAAGTCTTTTAACAAACAAACAAAAATAAATAAAACTTGTGTGTGAGTTCACAAAGTAAACCGCAGGGGCTGCTGATGCGATCCATGTGTCCTTTTGGTGGCCCAGAGCTGCCTCCCCGCCCCCTTGTCTCCCCAACAGAGAGAAGGGAGATGGGGGGGCCACAATCTGTTGGTGAAAATGGCCGTTTAATGCAGAGCTGCTAGCACACTTATAGAACATCTGAAAGGGGGTTGAGGTAAGGACATAAGTGTGATTGGTCATTTACATTGATAAACATTTGGCAGAGAAAATTCTCTTGGGGAGATCAACTCTAGAAGACACTCCGTCTCCCAGGGACATCTACATTGCTTTTATCTTTCCCTTTAGTTGTATAAGTTATCGATACTTGCAGTTGTTTGGATAAACAACAGAATCCCAACACTTAGTTCTCTGCGCTGAGAGCAAGCAAGGCTTTTATCGTAAATCCCAGACTAAGTCCTCAGGCCACTTCAGCTTGTCCTTCCCCATGGGGGTCCTGTCTCTTAAGTCATAAAAGCTTGCATCAAGCTGTTGCATTTATGCTTTCTAGAATGTCCCATTTTGATGCCAGGTAGCTTTGCCACTCGCCCTGGGTCCATCCCAATCCCACGGCGGGACTGACCGTGTGTTACGAACTACAGCAACTGAAGTCTGAGTCAAGTAATTATGAACAAGTAATTATGCCCAGGAACAGATATATTTCAGAGTCAGTCAACTCCCAAATATTAGGAGCATAGCATTAATTTTCTTTCTGTGTTTAGCCGAAAAACATTGCTCTATAGTAAAATATAAAAAAGCTACAGGGGAAATAGAAAAGCAGGTACAAATATGCAGCACTTCAAATACGAAGCAGTACAAATACAAAGTTTAGAATTACCAGAAAGTTTTGGCTTAAAAGTAATCAAGATTGACGGGGGGAACTGTGACAATGAGAGGTAAAATACAAGGGAAAGGTTAAGGATAAACTTTAACCAAATTAGGGCTACAGATTAACATACAAGAGCATATTAAGCCTCTGCACTCAGGGATCACTCCTGACAGGCTCCGGGGACCACGTGTGGTACTGGCAAGCAGTATTATCACTCCAGCCCCAGGACTGTATTTTAAAGGAATAACAGGTTCAAGTGGAAATACGACTCGCATGCACGTGGTACCCTGCAGAACTAAGGACAGGCAGACGCCTGTGTCGCGACTGCCACCTGGCGGTAGTACTGGAAAGATTCGTTGAATTGTGAAACCCAGATACTTTTTCTTTCTTTTCTTTTCTTTTTTCTTTTCTTTTCTTTTCTTCTCCTTTCTTTTACTTTATTCTCTTCTCTTTTCTTTTTTCTCCCTCCCTTCCTCCGTCCTCCCTCCCTCCCTCCCTCCCTTCCTTCTTCCTTCCTTCCTTTTTCTCTTTAATTTCTGTTTGACTGAATATTCCCCCCCCCACTGCATTTTATTTAAACACTGCGATTTACAAAGTCATGTCATGATTATTTGTTAAAGGCATTCAGTATTCCAATACCAGTCCCACCACCACTGTCATCTTCCCTCCACCATTGTCTCCATTTTCCCAACTACCCCTCAAACGGTCCCCATACCAAACCCACAATAATTTACTTTATATTGCTTGTTACCACTAAATAGTTAGTGGAATGATCAAAATATGTTTCAGTTAAAGAAACTTTGTGGAAATTGTTGTATCTCCCCATAGGGACATTAACTACTTGTCTGAGGGTTTACTAAGCTGTTGTTGCAAGTTAAGCTTTCTGTGTTAATTTTTTAAAAATTTTATTTATTTACTTAAAAAAATTGAATCACTGTGGGGCTGGAGTGATAGTTCAGCGGGTAGGGCATTTGCCTTGCACGCGCCTGACCCGGGTTTGATTCCCAGTATCCTATATGGTCCCCTGAGCACCGCCAGGAGTAATTCCTGAGTGTAAAGCCAGGAGTAACCCCTGTGCATCGCTGGGTGTGACCCAAAAAGAAAAAAAAATTGAGTCACTGTGAGATAGACCCTTACAAAGCTGTACATGATTAGGTTTCAGTCATACAGTGTTCCAGCACTGGGGTAATGTTTTCATTGGTCGAGATTAGTTGGCTTCTGCATTACATTCCATCCAATCTTCTGTGCTTCTCCTGGGATGTGAGCATCGTAGAGTCTGGAGATACAGCCCCAGAGCATCCAGAATATTTAAGTGAGCTCTCTGGCCGGGAGCATGATGCTGGCTGTCGGGGTGAATGGGGCTGCCCGGGCTTCTTCAGTAGGGTGGGAACTAGGCCCACCTTCCTCCTGAGCTCTTGAGTCTCCAGGTTCAAGAGATGAAAGTGGGACCGAAAGGAATATTTTAGGAACGATGCAGTTCAGCACATGCGGTGGAAGGAAGGCCGGCTTTTCAGACTCTGAGTCTGTGCAGGTGGGGGTGATGCACACACAGCCCTGGGATCGTTCTTGGGGAACTGGGGTGGTGCCAGGCTGTCTTTGGGGTGGTACCGCTCTTCTCAGCCAGGTTTGGTCTGGAGCAACGGTTCTGTGAGCCAACCCTCCTTCTCCTATCTCAGACCCAGACCGTCCTCCCTGGTGAAGGCACAGCTCACCCGCTGTTCTCAGTGCTCGGCTTGGGTTCTTGCAGAATGGAGAAGAAAGAGTGTCTGCAGCACTGACTGGGACCCGGCCCTGAGGTCAGCCCCAGCACTGCATGGCCCTGAGCACGACACGCAGCATCTTGAGGTGGTCCCGGTACCCCCAGCACTTCCTCACTGGGTGGGGCCTGGTGTGTTGAATATTTCTGGGATTGGCTCTTGGGCTCTCCGAGCACTGTTTGGGAGACCCTCCTCGCCAGAAGGAACTTCATTCACATGTTCCTCTCTATTCCTTCCCTCTGCTGGCTTCTTCCTGGCTAGCCCTTCAGTGGCCACTGTGCCCCCAAGACCCAGACCTGGCCTTCATCCGTGTCATGGGTTTATTTCCTTTTGATCATTTTGAGTGTGGAGGGGGCTATTAAAAGTTTTTGAGGGTTTTTGGCCATACCTAGTGGCATTCAGGGTTTACTCCTGGCTTTGTGCTCAGGGGTCATTTCTGGTGGGGCTCAGGGAACTATATGGGATTCCGGGGATTGAACTGGGATCAGTCGCATGCAAGGCAAGCGCCTACCCCCCTGTGCTGTCTCTCCGACTCCTGATACTTAAATTTAGGTAGTTTTGTTAAGTATTTATACGGGGTAGAGTACTGTGTTTCAGTTGCACAAGGTGATGAATGTCGATATACTTGCACACATGAACTCTCCACCACAGCTAAGGTAGGGGACGTGTCATTCCCCCCAAATTTCCTCTGTTCTTTCGTAGTCTTTCCCCACCTCACTTCCTCCCTGACCCCTAAATCCACCTTGGTTGGGAACTCTGAGTTTGCAGTGATTTGGGGAGAAAGAGAAAAGGAGTTTGACTTAAATTATACCATTTTATCACTGAGTCTCTTCTTCCTAGAATCATTTGCATTTCTAAAGAAGATTAATAGGTACAGTGGGTAAGATGCTTGCCTTGAACATGGCTGACCCGGGATAGATCCCTGGCATTTCATGTGGTCCCCTGAGCACTCCCAGGAGAGACCCTTGAGCACAGAGGCAGGAGTAGCCCCTGAGACCAAAAAAAAAAATAATAACTTATTTATAATCTAAGAAAACATTTTTTTTCTTTTTACTTTTATTGAATAATCTTGACAGACACAGTTAAACTGTGGGTTTCAGTCTTCCAATGTTCCAACAGCCGTCCCTCTACCAGTGTACATTTCCCACCACCATTGTCCCCTATTTCCCGCCCACCGCTGCCCTCTCCCACTGTGGCCCTAACAGGCTCGGGAATGCTGCACTGTGTCTGTTACGGAGGTAATTCTAAAGCAGTGCTTTTCACTGGTTTCCGATGGAGGAATCTTCTGCAGATTCTCAGAGCATATAGCATGGGGCTGGATGTCTGTAGTAGGCATTTAATACCTATGACGAAGGTTTATCATGGGATATCAAGTGGGTTCAGGACATGTGTGGTAGGATCAGGGAGAGATCAGGTGTTTGCTTATTTAGGGATCAGCCCCAGCAGAGCCCAGTGGAAGGGATGTGTGTGTGTGTGTGTGTGTGTGTGTGTGTGTGTGTGTGTGCTCTGTCTGTGCTTGGGGTTTCTCCCTGGCATGGTGCTGAGGATCGAGCCTTTGCCTCTGGCTTGCAACACACGTGCCCTGGCCAATTGAGCTATTGCTCCAGCCCAGATAGATTTTTATTTATCTATTTATTTTTATTTAAAGTGTCAGTGTTTAGGGGGCAGTGTGATAATACAGTGAGTAGGGTGTTTGCCTTGCACGCGGCCAACCTGGATTCGATCCCCAGCATCCCATATGATCCCCTAGCACTGCCAAGAGTAATTCTTGAGTGCAGAGCTGGGAGTAACCCCTAAGCATTGCCAAGTGTGACCCAAAAAGAAAAAAAAATCAAAAACCAAAATAAAGTGTCAGTTCCTTTTTGGGGCCACACCCAGCAGTACTCAGGGCTTACTCCTGGCTCTGTCCTCAGGGATCTCTCCTGGTGGACTTGGGGGACCCTATGGGGTGCTGGGTTGGCCACATGCAGGGCAAGAACTCTACCCGCTATCCTCTTACTCCAGCACTTGTTTACGTTAATCTGAAAAATAGCATTTTCTCACAGGATACATTCAGCTTCTAAAATAGTGCCTCATTTTGGATCCAGAAGTGTGTCTCGAGGGCATGGTTAAAGAGAGGCCGTCTGAGTGACCGCTGTCACGTTTTGATTGCAGGCGGCGGCGAGAAAGCCCGAACACTCCACGTGTCTAGAGGGAAGCTGCTGCCCAGAGACAGAGTGGATACCCTCATCGACCCAGGGTGGGTGCAGCCCAGTCCACCCGCTCCTGCTTCTCTAGTCCAGACTTTTCTTCCACGGGGTTGTAAATAAGTGGTTTGGATTTGGTTTGTTTGGGGGCCACTCCTGGTGATGCTCAGGGGTTACTACTGGCTCTGCACTTAGGAATCACTCCTGGTGGTGCATGGGGGACCATATGGGGTGCCAGGGATCGAACCCAGATAGCCTGCATGCAAGGCAAGCAACTTACCCACTGTCCTATTCATGAGTGGTTTTGAATTCTGCTCCCATGTTTACTGAGAGGCGACTTTCGATCAGGCATGGAGCAGACACTGGTGAGACTGAAGGAGATAAAACCTCCGGCTCTGTTGGAGCGTGTCACAGATTCTGTTTTATTTTGTTTGGGGGCTTCCCCCTGCAGGATTCAGGGCTCACTCCTGGCTCTGCACTCAGGGATCACTTCTAGTGAGCCCAGGGACCACCTGTGGTGCTGGGTATTGAACCCAGGTCACCTGCATGGAAAGCAAATGCCCTATCCACTATAACGTCTCTCCGACCCTTGAAACAGTTTTTTGTGCACAGTGTGTATTTTTTTTTTAAACATGGTATGTATACCAGGGGCCATAGAGATAGTACCGCGGATAGAGCATTTGCCTTGCACATGGCCAATCTGGGTTTGATCTCTGGCCTCCCATATGGTCCACCTAGCACTGTCAGGAATAATGTAACTCCTGAGTTTGAGAAATGTAATTCCTGAGTGCAAAGTCAGAAGTAAGCCTTGAGCATCACCTGGTATGGCCCCAAAACCCAAAACCCAAACCAAAACGTTGATGTACCAAAGGAAGACTCTTGTGCACCTGTTGACTGTTTCCATTTGCTTTCAAATCAGCGACGTCTGTTCAGGCAGCCCTCGTTCTTCCCTGCAGGTCTCCATTTCTGGAATTGTCGCAGTTTGCAGGGTACCAGTTATACGGTAAAGAGGAGGTGCCTGCCGGCGGCATCATCACGGGCATCGGGAGAGTGTCGGGGTGAGTATCTTCCACCTGCACCCGGCAGTGTGGGAGCCAAGGGGAGAGCGGGAAGCTGGTCTCTACCCCTTGCTGCCCTGCCTGGCAGCCTCCGTGCTTTCTGCTGTTTCTGTTACTCGGCTGGAGCGATAGCACAGCGGGTAGGGCGTTCGCCTTACAAGCGGCCAACATGGCCGACCTGAGTTCGATTCCTCCGCCCCTCTCGGAGAGCCCGGCAAGCTACCGAGAGTATTCGATATGCCAGACACAGTAACAACAAAGTCTCCAATGGAGACGTTACTGGGCCCGCTCGAGCAAATCGACGATCAACGGGAGGGCCTTTACCTTTACCTGTTACTCGGGATGGAGGATTCCTACCAGACCTAGATTAGATTCATGGAAGCGGGAAAAATTCCCGCAACAATGTTGCGGCTCCCATCTGATCTCCATGTTACCAGAACCTGCAGTTGTGCGTTGGGCCTGCGGGGGGCGCTGCTCTGCAGGTGCTTTTGGTGTCTCTGAGCTTTCCCTGGTTCCCCCGAGTCACGTGGGAACTTAGTTCAGCGTTTCCAACCCTTTGATCCTTGGAGGCCTAATTTGTTGAACGTGAAAGTCATTACAAGTTTTCCTCCCCTCTAAGGTGGAGAAGACTCAGTGTGACCCAGTGAATAAAGGAAGGTGCTCCAGGGGTTACCACAAAACAGACGATTTCCTGGAGTTCCTTTGTGTAAAAATGGGAAACTCCAGATGTGGGGCTGGAGCGATAGTACAGCAGGTAGAGCACCTGCCTTGCACGTGGCTGATCCATGTTGGGTCTTCACTGGCACCCCATAGGGCCTCCTCATCCCCACAAGGAGTGACCCCTGAGCTCAGTGCAGTGATAGCGTCTGACTGCCACAGTGTGTGACCCCAAAGCCAAAACCAAATAAATAAAAAAAATAAATTCTTCGTTTTTCTAGAAAAGCATATGGCTGTAACACTGAAGACTTGTGAAAATAGGAAGAGCAAATAGAACACTTTTTATTTTATTTTATTTTATTTTTTTGCTTTTTGGGTCACACCAGGCGATGCACAGGGGTTACTTCTGGCTCTGCACTCAGGTGTTACTCCTGGCAGTGCTCAGGGGACCATATGGGATGCTGGGAATCAAACCCGGGTTGGCCGTGTGCAAGGCAAACGCCCTACCCGATGTGCTCTCTCCAGCCCCAACACTTTTTATTTTTTGTAGATTGGCTTCCTGAAAATAAGCTTGAAAGTTTATTTGAAGGATTTTCTTTTTTAAAAAATGTAAATAAAGCATTTTATTTAATTCAGTATCTGAACTATGATCATTTCAACACATAATCTCTGTTAAAGTCACTGAACTAGTTTTAAATTTTTAATGCTGTCTTTATTTTTTATTTATTTATTTATTTATTTATTTATTTATTTTTGGTTGTAGGGCCATATCCAGTGGTGCTCAGGTCTTACTCCTGGGTCAGCATTCAAGGGTAACTCATGGCAGGGCATCGTGGGCCGTGTGTGGTGCTGGGGATCTGAGCCAGATCAGTTGTGTTCAAGGCACGTGTCTTGAATTACGCTTGAACTACGGCTCCAGCCCAGTGCTAAGTCTCCAGAGTCCAACATTTGTGGTTTCCTGGCAATTCAGCTATGGAGCTACCTCACTTCAGAGCTCAAGAGAGACATAGGCCGGTGGTCAGCCACTGGGCAATGGCAACTTTAGGTCAGAGATACATTTTAGTTTCTTTTTCTTTTTTTTTTTTTTTAAGATTTTATTATTGAATCATTAGGAGATAGACCCTTACAAAGCTGTTCATGGCTGGATTTCAGTCATACAGTGCTCCATCACCCATCCCTCCACCAGTGTACATTTCCGAGCACCAGTGTCCCCTGGTTCTCCATCACCTCCCCCCACCCCTGCCTGCCATTATGGCAGGCACTTTTCTTCCCTTTCTCCTTCTCCTTCTCTCTCTTTCTCTCTCGCTCTCTGTCTCTCTGTCTCTCCCTTCCTTCCTCCCTCCGCTCTTTCTCTCTCTTTCTCTCTCTCTCTCCCCTCTTTTGGGCATTGTGGTGTGCAGTACAGATACTGGAAGGTTCTCCGATATACCCCTTTACCTACTTCTAACAACTGGCCTGGAATATTGAGTCACTCTCTTCTCTTGCTGCCCCCCAGGGTAGAGTGCATGATTGTCGCCAATGATGCCACTGTCAAAGGAGGCTCCTACTACCCCGTGACTGTGAAGAAGCACCTGCGGGCACAGGAGATCGCGATGCAGAACAGGCTGCCCTGCATCTACCTGGGCAAGTCATGGGGCTCCCCAGAACCCTGTCATGGGGGCCAGTGCGCTGGCCGCTCGGAAGCCTGCGAGCGGCGTTTCGCAGTGGGAATTCTCCTCCTCCTGATGGTGTGTGTGGGTGGAGCTGGGGCTCAAACTCAGGCTCACACAGCTCAAGGCCAGTGCCCGACCACTGAGCCACACCCCTGGCCTTTCAGTGGGTATTTTGTTTGTTTTTTTTTTTTGGTGACATCCAGTGACTCAGGGCTTACTCCCTGCTCTGCAGTCAGGGATCACTTCTGGCAGGGCTTGGGGGGAGCATGGGGTGCTGGGAATTGAACCCAGGTTGGCGGCATGCAAGGCAAGCACCCTGCCCACTGTACTATTGCTCTTACTCTGGCCCCCAGTGGTTTTTTTTTTGGGCGGGGGGGGGGTGGGTGGGTAGGTCATTTGCTTTGCATGTGGCCAGCCCCGCCTACCCAGGGTCAATTCCTCCGCTCCTCTCAGAGAGCCCAGCAAGCTACCGAGAATATCTCACCCGCACGACAAAACCTGGCAAGCTATCCATGACGTATTTGATATGCCAAACACACTAATAACAAGTCTCACCATGGAGACGTTATTGGTCCCACTCGAGCAAATCAATGAACAATGGGAGGACAGTGCTACAGTGCTTTTTTTTTCTTTTTTTTTTTTTTGTTTTTTTTTTTTGAGTCACACCTGACAATGCACAGCGGTTACTTGTGGCTCTGCACTCAGGATTTACTCCTGGTGGTGCTCGGGGAACCATATGGGATGCTGGGAATCGAACCCAGGTTGGCTGTGTGCAAGGCAAACACCCTACCCACTGTGCTGTCACTCCAGCCCCTGGGTATTTTTTTTTCTTTTTGGGTCACAACCGGCATTGCACAGAGGTTACTCCTGGCTCATGCACTTAGGAATTACTCCTGGCAGTGCTCAGGGGACTGTATGGGATGCTGGGAATCGAACCCGGGTCGGTTGCATGCGCGGCAAATGCCCTACTCGCTATTCTGTCACTCCAGCCCCACCCTGGGTATTTTTTTAATACTAAAAATTATTGTTATGCAGCCGGCCCAGATTTGATCCCCAGCATCATATCTGGTTCCCAGAGCACCACCAAAAGTAATTACTTCGATTGAAGGTTTAATTTCTTTATGGTGTGTCTCATCGATTTATATATAGATTTAAGCATTTAACACAGTTCCTGGCATTTCAGCCTCCATCAAACCTCCCAAACCAAAACCTGCCACTGTCGTGGACACAGTCTTGGTGATCTCGGAGCTGTCCTGACTTCTCTCTTCTTGGTTTCAGTTGACTCAGGAGGTGCCAATTTACCCCGGCAGGCAGATGTCTTTCCAGATCGAGATCACTTCGGCCGTATATTCTATAACCAGGCAGTCATGTCTTCGAGGAATATTGCCCAGGTAATTTCTCATCAATGAGTTCTCTTGTTTTTTTGCTCCGGATATCTTTTGCTAACTAGATACTTGAAGATGTCACTGTCACTGTCACTGTCTCTGTCCTCCCGTTGTTCATCGATTTGCAGCGGGCCCAGTAATGTCTCCATTGTGACACTTGTTACTGTGTTTGGCATATCAAATACGTCATGGGGAGCTTGCCAAGCTTTGCCTTGCGGGCGAGATACTCTCGGTAGCTTGCCGGGCTCTCCGAGAGGGGCGGAGGAATCGAACCTGGGTTGGCCAGGTCGTCCGAGTGCAAGGCAAATGCCCTACCACTGTGCTATCGCTCCAAATGTATCTTTGAAAAACCAAATTTAGTGTTTTTTGGTTTTTCTCTTGAGAAGTATCTCAAAAATCTTTTCCTATTCTTCTGTCATTTTGGTGAAGATTCTTTTTTTCCCAATGTTTTCATACCAATCCCTTTACCAGTGTCCACTTCCCTTCACTAATACCCCTCCCCCCACTTGCCTCCCATCTACTCATCTGTTTCTACTAGAGAATAGTCTTACACTGTAATGGAGTTCATACGCCCAAGGAAAACAAGTTTTTAAAAGAAAGAGCACCCAGAACCATCTCTCTATACTCTGGAGGAGAAACTGCATCATATGTATGAGAAGGACAGTGTGTTCTAACATTGTTACAGCAAAGGTTTCTGAGAGGAAACTGCAGAACCAGCTTAAATGTTCCCTTCCAGGAGACTGGTCATATTTTTCCCTTTTATTTTGGGGATGGGCTACCTCCTAAGCAGTGTGCAGAGGCCCTGGGGCCTGCCCATCAATTCTCAGACAACCAGGCCAGAGATTTCAGTGGAGGACCAGAGGGTGCGGCTGGCTGGGTGTGGGGCTAGGGAGTCACAGCTCACCCAGCAGTACCAGGGATGAAACCAAGGCCCTGTGCATGTGTTGTGGGTGCCCATTGTTTGTTTGTTTTGCATTTGGGCCACATCTGGTGGTACTCAGTGTCTACTCCCAGCTCAGTGCTGCAGGGTTGGGTGGGGTGTTGCTCCCAGCTCTGCCCAGGGGGCTGTGCAGTGCCAGGGTTCAAACCTGGGTATGTACTGCAGCCAGCTGAGCCAGCACTCTGGGGGCCTGCAAATTTTATCTTTAAGAATGAGCTGGAATTAGTGAATCTACCTAAAGAAGTCTCAAAAGTCGGAATATTTCCATAGACCATTGTTGTGTGTTGTGTATATAAATGCAGGACCAGGGAGATAACTCAAAGGAATGGCGACTCTGTCTTGCAGGCATGTGACCCCATGTTCAGCATCACGTGCTCTTCCCCACCCCTGTGCTCACCCCCAGCCTTATCCCCACTCCGAGCACTGCTGAGTATTGTCCTGGCTCCTAGGCATGGCTGGGTGTGAGCACCACTGTACTTCGGGACCCAAGCATTGACCTGTCCAAACTGCAGTGCTGGGCCAAGTTTCATCGGGAGTGGCTCCCCTTGGACCTCTCCCTCCTGCCAAAAAAACAGAAAAAAGAATCTAAACAAACCAAAACCCAGACTGTATGTGATCGCTCTTTTCTGGAAAACTCTGTAATGGGGCCGGCAGAGGAGAGCGAAGTGGTTAAGGCACAGTATGGCAAGAGTAGTGGGAAATGATCACTCCGGACAAGGACTGAAGCACTGAGTGTTGAAAGTAGGTAAAGGGGTATACATGATAACCTGTACTGCAATGTATTGCAAACCATAAAAACATAATGTCCAAAAGGGGAAAGGGGAAAAGAAAGAGAGGGGTGGGGGAGAAAGGTGCCTGCTAGTGGGAGGGAATCTGGGGACTTTGGTGTGGGAGAAAGGTACACTGGTGAAGGGATGGGTGGTGGAACATTATATGACTAAACCCAGTCATGAACAACTTTGTGACTGTTTATGGTTGTGATTCATTGTGATTCAATTAAAAAAAAATCAAATCTAAGAAAAAAAAAAAACACCAAGGGTTAAGGCACATGCCTTGCATATGGCTGACCCTGTTCAATCCCCTTGGCACTATATAGTGTGACCCTGGGGCCCCCGAAGCCACCAGGTTGGCCCAGGTAAGCCCCGGTACCCCAGGCCCAAGCAGCATCTGTCTGCAGGCCTTTGCACTGCATGAGGGCCCCGGTTGTCTGAGAATCACTAGTGACCCATAGACCCCCCTTGAACCATTTGGGACTGGAGATGGGGGCAGAAAAAAAGGGAAGAAAAGGCAAAAGGCAAAAATTCTACTACTTCCTCTCTCCCTTCTTCTATCCCAGGCAGGATTTCCCCTCTTCTTCTTTTTTTTTTTTTTAAATTTTTATTAGTGAAACACCATGAGGTACAGTTGTAGACTTAAACATTTTTGTGCTTGGGTTTCAGTTATACAGTGATCAAGTACCCATCCTTCCACCAGTGCCCATTCTCCACCACCACGGGTCCCAGTATCCCTCCCCCCCCACCCCCCATCCCACCCGGCCTCTGTGGCAGGGCATTCCCTTTTGTTCTCTCTCTCCTTTTGGGTGTTATGGTTTGCAAAAGAGGCATTGAGTGGAAATCATGTTTGGTCTATAGTCTACTTTCAGCATGCATCTCCCATCCTGGGAGGATCCTCCCAATACCCTTTATTTGGTGCTCCCTTCTCTATCTGAGCTTCCTTTTCCCCTAGCACATGTGGCTGGCCTCCCAGTCATGGAGCAAAATTCCTGGTACTAATCTCAGCCACTCCTGGGTGTTAGTCTCCCATTTTGTTACTTTATGTTCCCCAGATGAATGCAATCTTTCTGTGTCTATCCCTCTCTTTCTGACTCATTTCGCTTAACATGATACTTCCCATGTAGTACCACTTGTATGTGAATTTCATGATTTCATCTTTTCTAACAGCTACATAGTACTCCATTGTGTAAATGTACCAAAGTTTCTTTAACCAGTCATCTGTTCTCGGGCACTCAGGTTTTTTCCAGACTCTGGCTATTGTAAAGAGTGCTGCAATGAACAAACAAGTGCAGATGTCACTTCGACTATACTTTTTTTTGCCTCTCTGGGATATATTCCCAGGAGTGGCATTGCTAGGTCAAATGGGAGCTCAAATTCTAATTTTTTGAGAATCGTCCATACTGTTTTCCAAAAGGTTTGGACCAGTCGGCATTCCCACCAGCAGTGAAGGAGGGTCCCTTTCTAGCCACATCCGCGCCAGCACCGGTTGCTTTTGTTCTTTTGGATGTGGGCCAGTCTCTATGGTGTGAAATGATATCTCATTGTTGTTTTGATCTGTATCTCCCTGATGATTAATGATGTAGAGCATTTTCTCATGTGCCTTTTAGCCATTCGGATTTCTTCTTTGAGAAAGTTTCTGTTCATTTCATTGCCCCATTTTTTGATGGGGTTGGATGTTTTCTTCTTGTGGAGTTCAACCAGTACCTTGTATATCCTTGATATCAACCCCTTGTTGGATGTGTATTCAGCAAATATCCTTTCCCATTTTGTAGACTGTCTTTGTATTTTGGTCACTGTTTCTTTCGAGGTGCGTAAGTTTCTTAGTTTAAGATAGTCCCATTTGTCTATCTCTGTTTTCACTTGCTTGGCCAGTGGCGTGACATCTTTGAGATTTCCCCTCTTCTTCCCTGGCCAGCCTTGTCATTCATCATCTTGATACCAACGCTTCCTTTATGCTTTACCTTTGATCCTCTTCTCTTTGGCTTGTATATCTCCTCAGTCACTGAGGGGAACATAAAAATCTCTCGGGCTGTAGGGATAGCAAGTTCCCCTTGTGTTGGGGAGGCCTGAGTTGATCTGTCAGAGCAGCCCCCAAGCACTCCTGGGGTGGGCGCCCGAGCAGAGCATTGATGGTGAAGCCAAGAGGAAAGGACTTGGTCTCATCTCTGTGTCGCTGTGAAACGGCCAACTTCTGCGGCCTGCCCTGTCCCTTCCTTCCTGCCGGGCTGCCCTCCCCAGACCCCCCTCATAGCATCCTCCTGACCTCCAGCATGCTAGAGCCTTGCCCCGGACAGCCTTGTCACTTGTTGCCTTTCTTGCGATTTGCCCAAGGTGTGGGACCCCTTGGGCCCCTTCATCCTCCAGCTTCCTCCTCCTCACCCCCACAGCTACACCCACAGTTGCAGTCTTGATGGTGTCTGGAGCCCCGCCGACACTCCCTGTCCCCCCACATGCTCTCATCCTGCCCTCGATGTCCCCCCTTGTTTCAGGGATGCTGCTGTGGCGGGTCCCCTGAGGGAAAGATGTGGGGGGGGGGTTGAGCTTCAACTGGACAGACCCTGTTAGCTCCCACTGATTCCTTCCTCATGGTGCCTGCCTTCCCGCTCGTGTGGATTTTGATGTGATCCTTGCCTTTTTTTCCTTTTCTCTCAACACAATCCTAAAAAAAATCTTTCCCTCAGTTGTTTTGTATTTCTTGTGAGTTTCTCTGATGCTGGATGCTCACCAACACATACTAAGCCTCTGACTGCCAGGGCTGGGTTTATTATCCCCCTGGACCGGGCTGATTATTCTCTGGATTGTTTGCCCCCCCTCCACCCGGGATCAAGTTGATTTTCCCCTCTCTATTGTGTTGACTTTTCCTCTTGAATTGGGTTGATTTTTTTCCTCCTGGGTCGGGTTGATTTTTCCCCTTTGCACTGGGTTGATTTTTCTCCTCTTGGATTGGGTTGATTTTCCCCTCTGGGTTGGGTTGATTTTTCCCCTTTGAGTCGGGCTGATTTTCCTCCCAGATTGGGTTGATTGTTCCCCCCGGATCAGCTTGATTCCCCCCGGATAGGGTTGACACTATCTTCTCCATCCCCACGGCCACCCTGAGCTCAGGCTTCCTCTCCAGCCCTCCTGTGGCACTACCCTGGCCGCCCGGCCCCCTCTTGCCTCGGCACCTCTGCCACATGGTGACTCTTTCTCTAGTTCCCAGCTTCCAAACCCTGCTTTCTTGGAGACTCCCTGGTACCTGGTCGATCTTGTATGATGGATTCTGACCTAACACAGGGGTTTGGGCTCTGCTGGAAGGTGCTGCTGGGCCCCCCTCTGGGCCCTCATCTCCCACTGCCGTGCCCGCTTCCTCCCACATCTTTGGCGCTAAGTCTCAACCTCTGCCACTTTTGTAGGAAACAGTTTCCCAGAGTTCCTTTCTGGAAGTCATCTTTTCTTCCAGTACTGGGGTAGAGGTGTCGGGGGCGCCCCTCTTGGAGTGCCTCTTCCTGGCTCTGCCCAAGAGTGACTCCGGCTGGTGCCTGGAGGACCTTACGCAGTGTTGGGGATTGGACCTGGTATGAAAGTCAAATGCCTTGAACCCCTCTACTGTCCCTCCAATCCTGTTCTCATATTTCTTTTTTTTTTTCTTAATTTTTTTTTCAATTGAATCTCTCTGGAGAAAAGGCAGCTGATGTGGCCTTGGGGCTGTGGTTCAGTCCCCTGATGGAGACCGTCACTTGTCAGCCTGTGTCGGCTGCCCGCTTGGCTCAGCTCCTCTCCCATTTCATCTCCCCTGTTTTTGCCTGACTATGTTTTGACAGAATCATCCTCTTTATCTTCACTTCCAGGCTCGGTCTCTGGGTTCCTGACGGTTGCTCATCTCTTCTTTCCCTCGCTCATTCGTTATTTTCATGGAGCCCAGCAACACCTATTTAGCTCTTTCGTCTTACTTTTGAAAGTTCCCCGCTTTTTGAGTCTTACATCATTGTTGCTTTGCTCTAAGTTCCTTGACTGAGTTTTGTACTGAACTGGCTTGGATCTGGGTGCTCTAGTGCTGGGAACAGGCTGAGAGAGTGAGATTGTGTCCTGTGCTTCCAATGAAACCTCAAAAAAAAAAAAAAAAGAAACTACCATGAATTAGATCACTGTCACTGTCCTACTGTTGTTCATCGATTTGCCCAGTAACATCTCCATTGTGACACTTGTTACCGTGTTTGGCATATCGAATACATCACGGGTAGCTTGCCAGGCTTTGCGTGCAAGCGAGATACTCTTGGTAGCTTGCTGGGCTCTTTGAGAGGGGCAGAGGAATCAAACCTGGGTTGGCTGGGTTGGCCGCACGCTAGGAAGACGCCCTACCCGCTGTGCTATCAAAAGTGCAAAAAATATAGAGAATCACAGAAGGAAATAGTCTTCTTCCCACCACTCAAATTCATGTGGTATTAGTTTGGCTCCAGGTTTTAGAAGAATGTATTTATCCACAATTCATTTATCTATGCAAAATATTATATTGATGGGCACAGGGAGTATTTCCTTTTTTTTTTTTTTTTTTGCTGTTGGAAGTGTTCCTCTGATGAATGGCTTCCATGAACACATAGGCTGGAGGAGTTTTAGTCATTGGTATCTTTAAACAGACTGATCCGTGTTTGAGAAGCAGAAACAGTGAGTGCTAAACACTTCTGTCCTGTGCTGACAGATAGATATTACGGCATATATGTGCCGCATGCAAGGCAAGCACCTCAGCCTTGCACTTCTCCATTTTTAATGATATAACCTGAACTCGCAGTGCAAGAATGCTTCCTGTGGGGCCACAGAAAGTACAGCACTCCAGGTGCTGCCTTGCCTGTGGCCAAGCTGGGCCCGATCCCTGAGATTCCCCTGAGCACAGAGCCAGGAGTCAGCCCTGAACACTGCCGGGTATGGCACAAAAACAAAAGAATGCTTTTTTGTGACCATCGTTTAGAAGAAAAATGATGAAAGTTCAGCTTATGCTCCCTTTCATTTTTTAAATTTATTAAATTTTTAAAAAATTTTTATTTCTTTATTTTGATTTTTCGGTCACACCCAGTAATGCATAGGGGTTACTCCTGGCTCATGCATTCAGGAATTACTCCTGGAAGTGCTCAGGGAATTGTATGGGATGCTGAGAATCGAACCCGGGTCAGCCGCTTGCAAGGCAAAGGCCCTACCCTCTGTGCTATCACTCCAGCCCCACATTTATTTTTATTTTTGAGTTTCCCCCTACCTCTAAACATATCATTTGTTTTATATAAGAAAAATTAATGGAATACTGGAATTAGCAGCAAAACAGCTTTCGCGTGATAGTTTAATCTGTTAGTGCTCATAGCACAGCGGTAGGGCATTTGCCTTGCACGCAGCCAACATGGCCGACCCGAGTTCGATTCCTCCGCCCCTCTTGGAGAGCCCAGCGAGCTACTGAGAGTATCTTGCCCCCACGGCAAGGCCTAGCAAGCTCCCCGTGACATATTCGATATGCCAAACACAGTAACAACAAGTTTCAAAATGGAGATGTTATCGAGCCCGTTTGAGTAAATTGATGAACAGCGGAAGGACAGTGACAGTGCTCTTTTTCATTTTTGCAGTACTGTTTGTCCCTGTTGGGGGTTATCAACCAAACCTATATATATATTATTCTTCGCGTCAAACTATTTTCTAAGCAAGAATATACTTTGAAGTTTTAATATGAATAATTTCACCACTAAAGTAGAAAACAATAGTCCTCCTGTCTTCAGTAGGAAACTTATGTGTGTGAGTGGGGGGATAGAACAGAGATGGGGGTTGGTACTGGGCTTGGAGGTCAGGATGGGGAGGGGACACAGCAACAGTGGAGGAGGGTAGTGGCTACTCAGGGCGGGAGATGGTGCTGGAAGGAGGTAAGGTGACATGCATGAACCCCCATCAGGAACAGTATTGTAAACCACCCTGCCTACAAGGGGGAAATGTGCATGTCATAGAGGCAGGGGGAGGGAATCGGGGACACTGGTGGAGGGCCGTGGACACTGGTGGAGGGCAGTGGACACTGGTGGAGGGACTGCTCCTGGAACATTGTATTCCTGAAATTCAAAAATGAATGAATCTGTACGTTACAGTGTAACGTAAAAAAAAATTGTTTTTGTTTTTGGGGCACACGTGGCAATGCTCAGGAGTTATTCCTGGCCTTACTCCTAGGAATTACTCCTGGAGGTGCTCGGTGGACCATATGGAATGCCAAGGATCGAACTTCTGTGTCTGCCTGCAAAGCAGATGCCCTAACCACTGTACAATCTCTCCAGTTCCAATTGAAAAAAAAAATTTTTTTAAAGAAAAAAATGGTTCTCAGTTGATTTTTCTTTGAGCAAGAGTTTCAACTTATGCTATTTTTTTTTTCTTTTTGGGTCATACCTGGCAATGCTCAGGGATTACTCCTGGTTCTGCACTCAGGAATTACTTGTGGCAGTTCTCGGCACCATATGGGATGGTGGGGATCGAACCCGGGTTGGCTGTGTGCAAGGCAAACACCCTACCCACTGTACTATATGCTCTGGACCTTAACTTAAGTTACATTATTAATGGCTTTATAAGTTAGCAAGTAGTATTCATATTCAGGGTAAATATTAGACTCAGGTTAATATTCAATATTTGGAGACTTATTTCACTATTTGGTGAGGTAAGCAGTAATTGTTCGAGGACTTGGTATTCATATTAAGTTTAAAAGTCGCCCTTTTGATAGTTTTGCCCCATTGTGAGTAGATGTCTCTTCCATTAGTTTACCCCACTAATGATATCCCTGGTTACTCTTCACTCTGGCAGGGGGATGGTTCAAAAATCTTATAGCAGAGTGATACAATCCCCCAAACTGCTTAGATGGAAGAAGTCAGGGAGCTATTTCCAGTGTTTAGGGAACTCGGTACTTAAAGTGAGGTTCCGGAGCCTTTGGTCATGCCTGGGTGTGAGCTCTTGTAGCGCTGTGGTTGCAGATCGCCTGCCTGCTTGTGGCTGGGCCCAGCCTGACGTGTGTTTGTTGTTGCTCAATTGCAGATTGCGGTGGTCATGGGCTCCTGTACAGCCGGAGGAGCTTACGTGCCCGCCATGGCGGATGAGAACATCATTGTACGCAAGCAGGGCACCATTTTCTTGGCGGGACCACCCTTGGTAAGGACCCACCCTTCCTTCCTTCCCTCCCTCCCCCTCCCTCCCTCCTTCCTTCCTCCCTCCCTCCCTCCCTCCCTCCCTTCCTCCCTCCTTCCCTCCCTTCCTTCCTTCCTTCCCTCCCTCCTTCCCTCCTTCCCCTCTCTCCTTCCCTTCCCCTCTTCCCTTTCTTCCTCTCTGTCTTTCTTTCCCTCCTCTCCTCCTTCCACCCCTCTTTTTTTCCCTTCTTCATTCCTCTTTCCCTTCCTTCCCTCCCCTCCCTTCCTTTCTTTTTCCCTCCCTCCTCCCTTCCCTTCCCCCTTTATGATTTCAAAAGAGTCTCCTTTGATTTTTTTTTGAGTATTAAAACAGGTTTTACTTAAAAAATTATGTTAAAAAGATTATATGCTTGGACTTAAAATCAATGTTTTCCAAGTGGTTGCGTTAATTTAAATAACTATTGAGGGTGACATCGCCAAAAGGGCTACTGCCACAGATGTGAGAGCCTCTGGGGTCATTCAGAGAGCCCCTGCCCGGTTATGCTTGAATATTTTTTTTAGCCACGTGTTCTTATCAGCATCCGCTGATGGGAGGACCATCCATCCCCAATTTACCTTTGTGTAGTGAAGTGTGCTCTGACGGTGAGTTCTTTTTTTATATTTTAGTAGAAAATGGGCTGGAGCTATAGCACAGCGGGTACGGCATTTGCCTTGCACATGGCTGACTCGGGTTTGATTCCTCCCTCCCTCTCAGAGAGCCTGGCAAGCTACCGAGAGTATCCCCCCCACATAGCAGAGCCTGGCAAGCTCCCCATGGCGTATTCAATATGTCAAAAACAGTAACAGTAAGTCTCACAGTGGAGACATTACTGGTGCCCATTCGAGCAAATCCATGAACAATGGGAGGACAGTGCTACAGTGCAGTGCTAGTAGAAAATAAGACATTTCCTCATTAGGAAATGAGTAAAGAAGTGACTACACAGCTGGGGGCTGCAGGCCACAGTCCCGAGAATGGCATCAAGCCAGGGGTTTTCACAGGAACCGCCTTATCTTCCTCGCTGGGCAGCAGCGTGAGGTCTGGTTAGCCTTCAGATTTACCCTGAGACCCCCTCAAGATGCACCCTGGTGGGGCTGGAGTGATAGCACAGTGGGTAAGGGGTTTGCCTTGCACATGGCTGACCCGGGTTCGATTCTCAGCATCCCATATGGTCCCCTGAGCACCACCAGGAGTAATTCCTGAGTGCAGAGCCAGGAGTAACCCCTGTGCATCGCCGGGTGTGACCCAAAAAGCAAAAAAAAGATGTACCCTGGAAAGCCACGTCTCAGCAGCAAGATATTCGGAAGGGCCGTGTTTATGGGCAGAGGGAAGCAGCTGCATGAGAATTCTCGATTTTGATGCTTGTTTTCACAGAAAGTTGAGAAAAAGATCTCTGTAGCCTCATGCATCATGTGTGATGGAGTTGCTCTCATTTAAAGTGGTTGGGAGAAATGCATAGTAATAAGACAAGTTTTTGATGGAACTTTTGTTCTCCTTTTATCTTCTCAACTCGTTAGTAGAATGAGCTGTTTTAATTCTTTCCTTTGACTTTTATCTTTGCACCTATCATAGTATCAAATATGATGTGGGCGTTCAGAAATACCGATGACAAATTGTTATGGTTTTAGTTGATAGCAGTCAGATCACTGGAAATAAATATAGCATCTTTGCTATGTATTTTAAGCCACTTTTAATATGCAGATAACAGTGGTAATTTGTTATTGTCGGGACTAAATACTGTTTAGTCTAAAGTTTTGGGGAAGAAAGGAACCAGTAATTTAGTTCTTGGAGTAAACTGAATGTGAAATTTTTCATGGTCCCTCCCTGTGAAATGATATTTAAGACAGCTTTTGATCAAGTGAATAACAAGCCATTTATTTCTGTGTGTTATTTTTAGATCAGTGTTCATTATCCTCAAAAAGTTTTTTTTCAATTTGAAGAAAAAGAAACAAATTAATCAACCCAAAGAAGAACGAATCAATAAGCAATTCCTAAGGGCTTCAATTACCTAAATGATTTTTCTTTCTTCTTCTGATTAGATTTTCTCAGACTATGATTAAGTCATTCTTAATTCATTACATAATGTTTCTTTGGGGTCAGCTTCAACTGAATGTTTGATGGAGGTAATCTTGGAGATTTCCACCTCCCCCCCCCCCCCACCAAAGTATTGAACCACCTTTATGGGGTTATTTCTGATAGATAATGACAAAAACAAAACAAAAAAAAACACCTAGCAAATACCCTCTAGACATTGATGACATTGATTGAGTGTTCAAAATATGAATAAATCCTTCTGCTTGCCACTAAGAGGCTCCCAGTATGAAGGAAGTGACAGACACTCAGAATAAACATTGAGACTCAGTCTGGCAAGAGCCTGCCTGGAAGACCCTTGAACCATGAACGCACAAGCATTGCTCTGTTAATACCACTGGGGAGACAGTCAATGATGACATGGCCTGGGCAGGCCACGGAAAACCACCCAGAGCAGGGGCTGTGAGGTCAGGCTGAAGGAAAAGGCAGGAAGCAGTGGGTGGCTGAGAGGGAGCCTGGGCAGGCAAAGGCTTTCATGGACAGGTCTCAGCAGCTGGCCCAGGGGGAGTGAGCATTGGGCGTTCAGGCCACGGATGCCAGGGTCCAACGCTCGCCTTCCGTCTGCAGGCAAGGCGTGCTGTGACTCGAATTCCGATTTTCCACCCATGGACTAAAGACTCTGATCTAAGTTCGCTGGGCAAGCACAGTGCTCCTGGCTCCAGGGAGAAACAGTGCTGTGGAGTTTCTGGGTTAGGAGACATGCAGGGTCAGGGGCGTTTGTCTGTGTCAGGAGCCCATCTCACAGTTTCTCCTTCTGGTGGTAGGTCAAAGCGGCAACTGGAGAAGAGGTGTCGGCGGAGGATCTGGGAGGCGCCGATCTTCACTGCAGGTGAAATGGAACTGTTTCTTGGTTTATTCGTTTTGTTTTTGTTGGGGGCCACACCCAGCGATGCTCAGGGGTGACTCCTGGCTCTGCACTCAGTAATCACTCCAGGCAGTACTTGGGGGACCATATGTGGGATGCTGCGGATCCAGCCTGGGTTTACTATTTGCCGGGCAAGTGCCTTACCCAGCTGTACTATTGCTGCAGCCCCCGATCTCGATCTTCATTTTGGGGTAAAAGAAGTTTAAAATGACTGTTTTCCAAGTGGTAAACTTGTCAGTTCAAGCCACACTTCTGTTGTTGTTCTCCCAAGTGGCTATTTTAGGATTCAGTTCTCTGAACTCTTGCAGTGCATTTCCAAGCCGGGGCGTCAGTTTTGCTGTTAGCATGCAGGGCGGGATGTGTGTGTGTGTGTGGGGAGGGAGAGTTTCATGTCTGTCTGACACACTCATCCATGCCTGTTCTATGCTGGCTCTGTGCCAGCTATCTGCGGCAGGGAGCCAGAAGTTGTCTTTGGATCAGAGCTTTCCAAATTATTGGCCTACTGCTCCCTTTTCAGAAAAGAAAAATTACTCCACATACCCCCTCTGGAAACCTGTCTTTAAGTGAAAGAACAGACAGTCCCCTCTCAATTACATGGGATTCTACACCCAGCTCACCCAACTACACAGTCTATACTCATCCCACCCAGTTACACAGGAGTCTATACTCATCCCCCCCAATTATACAGGAGTTTGCACCATCCCCCATCCAATTACACAGGAGTCTATACCCATCCTACCCAATTACACAGGAGTCTACACCCCCCTCCCCCAATTACACAGGCGTCTACACCCTTCCCCCCATTATACAGGAGTCTATACCGATGCCCCTCCCAATTACACAGAAGTCTACACCCTCCCCGTGGATCATTCCAGCACCCCTGAAATTGCTCACATTGGGAAACTGGGTTCTATTTAGTGAGACATAGTAGATTAATACTTACCTTAGAGAATTTTTAAAAAAAAAAGGAAGAAGAAGAAAAGAAAGGTGTGACTGTGATTAGGCGGCCAGAGACCCAGTGGCGGCACAGCAAGAGAAGAGGGCTGGGACCCTGAGGCGGGCAGGGGTCAGGGCTCAGTACTGAGACGGGGTGTCTGCAGGTGAAGTGTGACTTGAAGCAGATCACAGAAGAAATGGACTTTTAATATTCTTGGTTTTGGGGCCACACCTGTCTGTGCTCAGGGCCTGCTCCTGGCTCTGTGCTCAGGGATCACAACCATATGGGTGGCCAGGGATTGAACCCTAGTAGGACGTGTGCAAGGCAGGTGCCCTACCCGTTGTCCTCTCTCTCCAGCCCTGAGAAATTTTTTTTTCCTTAAATTTTTATTAGTGAAACACCATGAGGTACAGTTGTAGACTTACACATTTTTGTGCTTGGGTTTCATAAAGTAACAAAATAGGAGACTAACATTCAAGAATAGCCGAGATAAGTACCAGGAGGATTACTCCATGGCTTTGAGGCCAGCCGCACACTCTAGGGGAAAAGGCAGCTCAGATAGAGAAGGGAGCACAAAATTTTTTTAAAGAATTTTGGGCCACAGGGGGGCTGGAGCGATAGTGCGGCAGGTATGGCATTTGCCTTGCACAGGGCCGACCTGGGTTCGATCCCCGGCATCCCATATGGTCCCCCAAGCACCGCCAGGAGTAATTCCTGAGTGCAAAGCCAGGAGTAACCCCTGAGCATCGCTGGGTGTGACCCAAAAAGAAAAAAAGAAGAATTTTGGGCCACACCAGATGTCCTTGCTTTATCAGTGCTGGGCACAAGAGAAAGTGAAGTGGAGGGTTTTATTCCCGACAGGTTCTAGAGACAGCACAGGCCGGGCCTGGAGTGACCTCAGAGAGGGCAGGGGGAGCTGTCTCGGCCTCTTTTGGGGCTGGCTTGTGGGTGGTGCTTTGGGGTTATTGGGTCAGGACCAGATTAGTCCATTTGAAACCAAAGTGAGGTTGGGAAAAGCTCCGTAGGGGTCCTTGGCAGCGTAGGCACCTGGGTGGCAGCAGAGCCTTTCGAGCACAAAGGTTGTAGGAGCCACATCGGTCTGTAGGTCTGCTCGTGACTCCATGGCCACTCCCTGGTGGGTACCTGCCCGCACTCTCTCTGCTCCTCTCTCTAGCTTTTTCTCTCACTCTTTTCCTCTCTACCATCCTCTCTCTCTCTCTCTCTCTCTCTCTCTCTCTCTCTCTCTCTCTGTTAGAAGTCCCTATTTACGCTTCTCTGATTAGTCATCCTTTGGAGTTCATTTGACGCAAAGCCTTATATAACATAGTGTCTCTTCAAAGGTTTCCTTTTCCGGCTCTTTGGGTAAGCACTGAGCAGTTTTTAAAACAAAAGCCTTTTATTTTCAGTATTTTTTTACTTGGAAGCAGTTCCTTCTGCTTCTGCTTACTTACTGCATGACTACTGTGTCCCTTGAATCCATGGCTGTACTTGTATGATGTGCCACAGTGTTAAGAGATAAGGTCAGTCATAACACGTATGTTAAAGGAACCAAAGGGCCTCCCATTCTCAGAGCCTTTGAAGGGCCATAGAGAGGAGCAAAAATGGCCACTGCTTTTATCTTAGAGTGCCGTGTTGGAAGCAGAGAGTGACAGGGACTCCCCAGTGAGAACCCAGTTCTCAGAAATGCCTCTGAAGGGGAATGTGCCTGCCATAGAGGCAGGGGGCTAGGGGTGGGGGTGACGGGAGGGATACTGGAAACATTGGTGATGGAGAATGGGCATGGGTGGAGGGATGGGTACTCGAGCATGGTATGACCGAAACATAATCATGCCAGTTTGTAAATCTGTAATTGTATCTCATGGTGATTCATTAAAATAAAATTAAAAAAAATAAAAAGAAATGCCTCTGAGGGGTTGGACTTTCTCAACCGAGATCCCAACTAGTCCCTCCTCATAAAATAAACATTCCCTTTTCCCTCCCAGACATGTACATTTACCTAACTTCAGAATTGAAAAAAAAATATCTATTATATTTGGACATCGTAGCACATTTCCGCCTGCCATCAGCTGTCTGCGTCAGGGCAGGGCTAATCCACCAAGCAGGCCTATGCTTCACTGCCTCACTCACAGCGAGCTTGGAGAGAAGCAGGTGTCCCAGCCCAGAGCTGCCCTCTCAGGGCCCCTGTTCTACCTGAGGCCCCAGGTGTGTCTTCACGCCATTGTGTGTGTAACCTCTGATATCTTGCACATGGGGAGAAATTGTTTTTGGGACTCCAGCAAGTCTCTTAGACATGAGAGACACAACTGACTTTTTAAAAAATTTTTGGGTCACACTCAGCGATGTTCAGGGGTTACTCCTGACTCTGCACTCAGGAATCACTCCTGGTAGGCTTAGGGGACCATATGGGATGCCAGGGATAGAACCTGGGCCAGCTGCATGCCAGGCAAGATGGCACCCGCTGACCCACTATTGTTCTGGCCCATGGTTGGCATTCTTGTGAGAGGTTCAGTTAGGTAGGTGCAAGCTCATTTTGTTGTACTCAACTGTGTCCCCAAAGCTTGGCTTGACCTTTATCACCTGCACTTTCTTTGAGGTGAATGGAATGACCCTTAGCTAGAAGTTCACAGCAGTGAAATTCAGTGGTCATAGAAAAAGGATACTGAGGAATACCAAATGTGGGTTTTTCTCTTATTTAGGGGTGGGGTGGGGAAGGGCCCACCCAGCAGTGTTCAGAGCTTACTCTTGGCTCTGCACTCAGGAATTACTCCTGGCGGGTCAGAGGGACCCTGTGGGATCCTGGAGATTGATCCCAGGTTGGCTTCGTGCAAGGCAAGTCTTCATGCAAGGCAACCCTACCTGCTAGTCTACCTCTCCAGGCCCAGAAAGTATGGCTTCTTATGCAGCTAGAGGCAATTGTGTTTTCCCTCTTTGTGAAATGGGGTTAATACTGCTAGATCAGGACACCAGGAGGATTAAATTAATTGATGCCTTGGGGCTGGGCAGATGGTGGAATCCTTGCCTGGGCCGTCTCAGCCCTGAGTTCAGTCCCTGATACTGCATCCACTAGGCCCAAGCACTGAGTTTTTGAAGCCTCAACAGCTGGACTAAGCATCTCCAGGAGTGAGTGGCCCCTGGAATCCCGGAGAGGTTCCCCACACCCCATCAAGGCTGATCTTTCCTGAAGTGTCCTGGAAGGAAAAGTCAAGTCATCCTTAGATGAGAGAGAGCACTTGGGGTTTCAGATATTTCCTTTCCCCTGATCTGTGCTTTACTCTGTAGGAAGTCTGGGGTCTCCGACTACTATGCCCTGGATGATAACCACGCCCTCCACCTCACTAGGAAGATCGTGAGGAATCTCAACTATCAGAAGAAGCTGAGTGTGAGTAGGGGCCGTTCGTTGGTGTCTTGCCGAAAAGTAGGGTGTCTCTTGGTGCCGTGAGCCAGCCAGTAGGGGTTTCCCGTGTCTGCAGGTCACCGTGGAGCCTTCCGAAGAGCCTTTATTCCCCGCTGACGAGCTGTACGGAATCGTGGGTGCCAACCTGAAGAGGAACTTTGATGTCCGAGAGGTGGGTACACTGACCCAGCTGTGAGTGTCTCTGGGGGTGTGTTCTCCGGGCTGGAGTCGGTTGGTTACTCTCCTGCTGCCGGTCTCGCATGGATGAGGTGGAGAGGGCTTCATGAAACTGGGGGGTTGTTGGTAGGTTGGAAATACAGAGAGGCAGAAAGGACAGGGGAAGTGTTTGATTACTGGAAAAGTTTGATTGCAAAATAACAGCAAGGGTATTTTTTTTATTCCTGGGGACATCCAGAAGGCTATCTAGGGCGACTTCTTAATTTTCAGCTATTTCTTCTTTTTTTTTTTTCAATGCTCTTATTTTGGGAAATGGATGAGATGTCTGTAAGTTGTTGAAAGAGATGAACAGGCTGTCTCAGATCATTGTGACATTAGGACAGATGAGATTTTTGGTCAGGTGAGATGTTGCTAGGTTACAAATTGCTAATCTGGTTTTTCGTAGCTGGATTGACAGCTTCCAGTGTGGGCATACGGCATGGAGTCTTTGTATTTGTCCAGTGCCTGTGTCTAGTAGCACAGTTTGTAAATTGGGAAGTTATCTTAATATCTGATTCCAGGCTAGAAATTATCAATTATTTTAGATGACTTTTCCACTTGACTATGATACTACATACTAATTGTAAAAATTGTAGAACATACAGAAACAGAAGTATGGAGCCAATAGCCAAATGCCCTCCCACCAAAAGTACAGATGGGAGGGCATTTGCCTTGCAAGTGGCAAACCCAGTCCCCCAAGCATGATCCCTAAGCACAAAAACAAACACAAAAAATAATAAAAACTGCTTTTTATTTCATCCAGAGAAAACAGTTTATATTTTGATGTGTCGACTTACTTTCTAGGTATGCGTTTTTATGTAGTTGAGAAACACTCTCTGTGGGGTGTGTGTGTGTGTGTGTGTGTGTGTGTGTGTGTGTGTGTGTGTATTTATACACTTGAGAGTTTTTTTTTTCCGGTTTGTTTTTGGGCCACACCCCATGGCGTTCAGGGCTTACTTCTGCCTCTGCACTCAGGTATTTTTTAAGTTGGAGATCGAACCCTGGTTTGTTTTAATATACCTCTTTTCAGTTTGAATGGTAAACACTTCCCCATTCTCTTTTGGGGGGAACTCACAAGCATGCTTAGAAGGCAGGCTTCACATTGGCAGGTCTCGGCCAGCTGGGACAATTCCATGCCAGGGCAGAGGACGTGGTGCGGCTGGGGGTACCCAAGCCACCCCATGGTGCTGGGGGTGCTCCTGAGCTGCAGCCTGCAGCCAGAAGCTGGGGATTGAGTACAGATGTGACCCATGCCCAGCAGACGCCCTGACTCTCTCCCAGCTCTCATTTCCCTGTTCTTTAAAAATTCCTCAAGAAGCACTTTTCCGAGGCCCTAATTCTTATAGTGTTTGGCAGCATGGTAGACTTAAATCAGCACCTTTTAATGTTCTTAACTTTTTGAGACAGGAGGAAGCAGAGGCTTAGGGAATAGGAGGTAATCAGCCTGGGGCTGTTTTCTCAGTAGCAACGCTGGGCGTCTGAGCTGGTTCTTCACCTCCACCTGGTGTGTTTTTCCTTCCTCTCCTGCTAATTCTTCTCAGCTTCTCCTCTCTGTTCCATCTCTGCAGCAGTGAGAACTAAGACTCAGAGGGGTTCAGTAATAGCACGCTCCAGAGCCTGCCACCAGAGCTGGTGCTCTGGGCTTGGAACTCAGGCATTCGGATGCTGAGCCCCGTTCCCCATGTTCCAATTGCTCCCCCAGCTCTTGGGTGATGCGTTTGTGCACCTGTGAGTTCTGAGCCTTGCAGCCAGCCCGCTCGTCTTTCACTGTTCTGCTGTGCCTCACGCTGCTGCTGCTTTGACAGTGAAGTGTAAGATCAGAAGCCAGGATATTTTCAGAGCCAAAAACCATGCGTGAAATTCTGGTGAGAAGAGGTTCTGTTTGGGATGAAATTTTGTAAAAGAGACAAATCCACTCTGACTCTGTTTTCCTCTTAAATGACAAAGATGCAAATAAAAAAGTACTTATCATTTCTCAAATAATTTTTTTTCCCTCTTTAGGTCATTGCTAGAATCGTGGATGGAAGCAGATTCAATGAATTCAAGGCCTTATATGGAGACACATTAGTTACAGGTATGAAGATTGAAAATATGAACATTTTCTGTTGCTTTGAAAAAAAAAAGTCTTTTGTCTCAAGGCTTTGATGTACTTGGCTCAAGCTTTGTTATTTTCGAGTGGTACAAACATGAGTCAGTATTCGGAAGGAGCAGTTTTGTAAAAATCATTCGTAGCTGAATGGCTTCGTGAATTTAGAGAGTTTAAAATGATGATGACTCTTTGCTGACATGGAGACCTTTGTCTGTGGGTTGGTGGCATTATTTGTAAAAATATTCTGACCACAGTGGAAATAATATGTCACTATTTCTGTATCTCTGGATCACCATGATTGATTTGAAAGATTCAGCACCATCTTCCTTGGCCCTTTGATCTTCAATTCAGTCAGGAAGTACTATATATTTAGCTTCCCAGAGGGGAGTACAATCACTTAAACCTCATGCTCTTTGTGTAGGTCTGCTGGAAAAAAAATATTGGAATACTAAGTCTGATAAAGCAAAATAAGGATGTTCATATGCTTATAAAAGTTCATTCATTGACCTAAAGAATTAAGTTTCTAGATCTCTGAAAATCAGTGTTTTAGGGTCTGGGAGATGGCTCAGAGGGTTGGGACACTGGTGAAGACTTCAGCACCAGGCCCAGAATGAGTATCCCTCGGAGTGGTCCCTAAACACTGGGACAACTCTCCTCCCCCAAACAAAACAAAACAAAACAGAACAATGCTTGAGTTACAACTGCCAGACCCATAATAACCTCTGATGGACAAATGGCAGAACAAATTCTTTGAATTGCGGTTGGGCTTTATAAAGACTCGAAAATGTGGTAATTAATCTTAAGACATCATAACAGAGTAGAAAAAGTGACTAAAAGTAAAATCCCCTTTACCAGTGTACATTGAGGCTAAAGGATAAGTCACAATGCTTTCCTTGGTCTGGATTATGAGCAGAAGGGCTCACCCAGAGAGCAGAATTTATGTCTTTGTATTTAAGTGTTTAAGTGATAAAAAGCTTTGTGTTTGATATATGGACAGGATTTGTCACTGAGTAGATCAGGATGTAATAGCTGTCATCGTGTGGTAGGTTCAAACAAGTCAGAGCTGTTTCTGCCTCTCAAAGGGGGATGGGCTCCCTCGGAATCTATTTTTGTATATTTTTGGGAAGATTTCTTGGCACCATTGTCCCTAGAATACCGGGGGTGGGACTGGAGCGATAGCACAGCGGGTAGGGCGTTTGCCTTGCACGTGGCCAACCCGGGTTTGACTCCCAGCATTCCACATGGTCCCCTGAGCACTGCCAGGAGTAATTCCTGAGTGAAGAGCCAGGAGTAACCCCTGTGCATAGCCACGTGTGACCCAAAAAGAAAAAAAAAAAGAATACCAGGGGTCTATCCAGTTTCATCTCTCTTTGACTGGCCTGGAATTCAGATAAGATTGACGGCAGGCAGGGATCGAGAGGAGAGGCAAGAGCGGGTGGGCGGGGAAGTGGTCTGAGGGAAGGAATGAGTAAGGTTGAAAGGGAACATGAGGGAAATGAAGAGAGCTGAGGCTGATGGGGTGAGGGAGTCGGGGGAGTGGGCCATGAGTGGATTTTTCGGAGATGCGGGTAGCTCTGGGTACCCTTCAGGGCTTCTTCCTTGTCATCTACTGACCCAGCAGTTTCTTGGACATTCACTCTTCTCTTTGGCCCACAGGAAGTTGGTAGAGATGCTCCTTCCACAGGTGACTCGTGGCTCTAGCGCAGTGGGGCAAACTCAGGAAGGGCTGAGGCTGGGCCCCACAGTCTCACACAGGACAGGGGAGAGGACACCTTCAGGGGGGCACCGACTGTGAGGAGATCTGCCAGGGTCCCTGCTCTCTTTGTGCAGGCAGAACTCAGTGGGTGGCCTCAGCCTGCAAGAGCACCCCTCCCCATGTCTCCCTGCCCACACGCCCCCTGCCCAAGTATCACATCTGTAAGCCGTCAGCACATGCAACCTAGGCTGGGGGTCTTGAGGGAAAAGATTGAGGGAAATCTAGGGCATCGTCTAGTTTGTGTTTCATTTTTTTGGTATCCAATAAAATGCAATATAAAGAAATACTGAATAAGCGTGAAGAATAAAGGCTCATCTTTGGAAGACTCAGTGTTTGAGCTGCACATTGGCTGACACTGCCTCTTATCCGTTAGGGTTCCTGCAGCAGTTTGGAGGCGTTTGCCTTGTATCAGGCACTAGGTGCTGATGTCTTAGCCGTAGCCTGTCCAGCGTGACCTTGAAGACAGAGGCTTGTGGCAGAAGCTTCATTCTGCTTTATCGAGCACACTTATGGCTCTGAGGGTCCCAGTGTTGGCTCCTGATTTCAGTTCTAAGTGGGCTGTGTGGAGAGACCTTTCTCAGGTTGGGTTCCTTAGATGGGCAAAATTATCTGTTTCCTGCAGTCCCCTTCCAGGCTTACAGGATGTGTTCTGTTTGAATTTGTCTTCTCTCTTATTTCTGTTTTTGTGTATGGAGACAGTGCTTGGTGGGGTAGCAGAAGTGGCAAGATAGAAATGATACTTGTTGAAAGAAGGGAAAAATTGCAAAGATGGGTGGAAGTGGCAGTACTCCTCTCCAAATATTAGATTTTGTTTTTTCTTTTTTTGGGGTCACACCTAGTAATGCTTAGGATTTACTCCTGACTCTGCCCGGGGGACCATATGCAGTTCCAGCCATCAAACCTGTATCTACCACGTACAACGCAATTGCTTTAACCTCTGTACTTATGCTTTTTTTTTTGTCAAATTTACCTGTATTGGGTTAATTAATTCTATTTCAAGGACCCATCATAACCACAGACAAATGTGGTTTGATTTGAGTCACCTGAAACTGGTGAGTAGCTATAACCCTGAGCCTTCTAGGCTCTGTACTTTGAGTCGATGGTTTCATAATTTTCTTAGTGACGGTAGGTAGTAGGCGTTCAAGTGTATGTTACAGTGAATGAATAGATAGCACAGCACATCAATCATTTGATTGAACCAACCACTCAGACACGTGGATAACTTTACACATAACAGAACCGTTTTCTTTTCCTTTTTATTGTACCTGCCACTCGCAGCAATGTACGGTAGGGAAGGGGGTTATTGTAGGGTCCAGGGTGGAACCCAGGGTCTTGCTTATGCTCGGCTGCTTCTCTGCTGATTCACTATCTCCCTGCTCCAACACAGCCCTTTTAAGACCTGCAGAACTTTCAAGTGAAAAACACTGTGATGGCTATTGTCTCTTGCCTTAGATGCCATCTCCTCTTTCAGAATTTTATTTTGTACAAGAATATGTAAGTATGTCATTCTCTTGTGATTCAGAGTCCTATAAAATGCATAAATCTTTTTTTCAATTTTCTTTTGAGGATTTGCCAGAATATTTGGATACCCAGTAGGTATCATTGGAAATAATGGTGTTCTCTTCTCTGAATCTGCAAAAAAGGCAAGTACTGTTAGAAACATTTCAGGATATATTCCATAAAAGCTTTGGAATATTTAGCCAAATGAATTAGCACAGGTGTGTGTGTGTGTGTGTGTGTGTGTGTGTGTTAGACCTTTTTGATTAACATGATGAATCATCTGGACCACTTTTTAAAAAATCAAATGTTTGGGGCTGCAGCGATAGTACCGTGGGTAGGCATTTGCCTTGCATGCAGCTGACCCTGGTTCAATCCCTGATATACCATATGGTCCGCCGAGCACCACCAGGAGTAATTCCTGAGTGCAAAGCCAGGTGTAACCCCTGAGCATCGCTGGGTGTGACCCAAAAAGGAAAAACAATCAAATGTTTGTTTCGGGAAATTTCTATAAGATACTTGAATTATACCTGCTATGGATGAGCATACACTCTGAGGCTACAGGAATGTTTGTCTTAAAAACATACTGCTGAAGTGATTAATTTTTAGTGCTTTTTGGGGGGGGGAGGGGAAGTCTCACCCGATGGTGCTCAGGCACCACTCTTGGCAATGCTTGGAGAATCTTGTAGTGCCAGCAGTTGGACTCAGGGCTCCCGTGAGCATAGCTGGTGCTCCGACCCTGAGCCATCTGCCTGGCCCCGATTCAGGCAGTTTTGACACATGTTTATTCTGTTCAACCTTGTCCTCAGTTGAGCTTGATTCTGTCTTCTCCTTTTTGGGGATGGGGAACAGTGCTCCTTGTTATTGACTCTCTGTTTTGCTTGTTCCTTACTTTTCTTTGGTTCACAGCATTAGAGAGCTTCAGGAGCTTACACTTATCCTCCTTTTTGTGGTTCTCCCACTGCCATCGAATGAAATACTTTGTTCCACCGACCGCTCCTCCCCCCTCCTCTCGTTCCTCTAGTATTTTCACTGCCGCCATGAATGTTGTATTGTTTACATTCAGAGATGGATTTTGAAAGAGATGTTTTTAGAATCTAAATAGTTCTAGAAAGAGGTAGTTCTTGAATATACAAATCTTTGGGCTTTGTGTTCAAAACCACCCATTATGTCTCAAATTTACCCACGTAGGGATACATGCACTTACTTGATAAAACTTTTCCTCCAGAGGGAAAAAAAGTGTAGCCTTAATTTTTCTCTTCAACTGATAGAAGAAATAGCATAGTAAAAAGGTTCTCTCACCACAATGGGAGATGCGTGATGAGAATAGACTATAGACCAAACATGGTTTCCACTCAGTGTCTCTTTTGCAAACCACAGCACTCAAAAGGAGAGAGATAACAAAAGGGGATGCCCTGCCACAGAGGTAGGGTGGAACGGGGTGGGGGATGGGGGGGTGGGAGGAATACTGGGATCAGTAGTGGTGGAAAATGGGCACTGGTGGAGGGATGGGTATTCGATCATTGTATAGCTGAAACCCAAGCACAAGGATTTGTAAGTCTACAACTGTACCTCATGGTGTTTCACTAATAAAAATTTAAGGAAAAAAAAAAGGTTCTCTCCCCAAAGCGGGGAACAGTCAGTTCAACTCTTCCTTAGCTGACTTAGAAAAAAAAATCACCTTCCATTTCTGTATTCTGCTCTTATCATTTTCCCATTGCAATTATAAAGCCGCAACAAAACTGAAATAGAGACACATCCCCACTCACACCAGAAAGACTCTTGAGTAGCATTTTAATTAATTAATTTTGGGCCTTTGAGAATACTTGGTGGTGCTCAGGGCTTACTCCTGACTCTGTGCTCAGGGGTCATCCCTTGATGGGACTTGGGGAACCATATATGAACCTGGGTCAGCCATGAGCCAGGCAGGCACCGACCCTCGTGTGGTGTGTGTGGGCGCCCAGTGTTCACGGGCTTGTTCCCATCATGCGTCTGTCTCCTTTGCTCGCAGGGGGCGCACTTCGTCCAGCTTTGCTGCCAGAGGAACATCCCTCTGCTGTTCCTGCAGAATATCAATGGTAAGACCCTGCCAGCCGGGCCCTTGCAGCGCCCCGCAGAGGTAGGAGTCCCGCTGGCCGTGCTTCTTCCTCATCTGCTGGGAGGTTCCTTGGGACTCCCCAGGCCTGGAGAGTATGTCCCTGTTTTCTTCTGCCAGGGGCTCTCTGTGATGCTCTGGGACCCCCCCCCCCCCCCCCCCCCCCCCGCCCACTCCCAGGGGGCTCTTGACCAGCTGGGCTGTATGTAGAATCGAATGTAGTGGTGCTGGAGACCCCCTCGGCCACCGGCAGAGCCCGTGCCCAGCACCCTGTGGGGCTCCCGTGCCCTCCCCATTTTCTGAAAGAAGTGCTTTGTGAGTTGCTGGCTCTCAGTCATTCACGTGGCCTCCCTCTGCTCCTGCCTGCGACACCCGCTCCGCCTCGAAAAGAACAAGCTGCTACCAGCTTGTCATGTTCTCGGATCAGCGCCAGAGGGCGCTCTCACCCACCGCCGTGTTCCCGGCCTCTGTTCCCCTTAGCTTCTGTCAATCTTGGCTTCAAGGGTGTGGAGGTGGAGCTCTGGGGGCCCCTTCCTGCAACCTGCTAGCACCTATCCTGGCGGTATCTCTGCAGTGGCCTCTTTATCTGTTTCGGTTTGAGGGTCGCACCTGGGGGTGCTTGGGGATCACTTTTGGCGGGGCTTGGGGGACCACACATGATGTAGGGATGGAACCCAGGTTGGCCGTGTGCAAGACAAGCACCCTGTGTGCGGTCCTCTCTTGGGCCTGACCTGGTGTTTCACCCAGGTCGGCACAGCTCCCCAGACCACCGGCCTGTCACATTCTGTCTGCCCCAAGCTGCCGTGTAGCCCGTTTTCTTGCTTTGTTTTGTTTTTTGGGTGTGTATGGGGGTGGGGTTGCACACCCAGCTCTGCTCAGGGTTCAGGGGTTGAACAGGGATTAGCCACATGCAAAGCAAGCCCCTTCCCCCCTGCCTTCCACCCCGTGTTCTGGAAGTTGGATCCTTTTATGTGTGAGGATCTCTCGTGTTGCTGCAGATGAACCACACTAAGAAAATTCTGAAAGTGATTAGAGAAAAGCTTTTGTTTTGCCTTTGAAGGCAAACTTGAGGCGGGGATGGGCCGTTTCGCATTAGGATCACAGGCTCCTGCCTGGTAGAATTGGTTTCAGACCAGCTGCCTTTCTGAGACCCGGCGGGTCCCCTCATCCACACACTCCGTTTCTTTTCTTCTAGGGTTCATGGTTGGGAAGGACTATGAGGCCGAAGGAATTGCCAAGGACGGGGCCAAGATGGTGGCCGCCGTCGCCTGTGCCCAGGTGCCCAAGATCACTGTCATCATTGGGGGATCCTACGGGGCTGGAAACTATGGCATGTGTGGCCGGGCCTATAGGTACGTGGTGGCTGAGATTGGGGGAAGGAAAGTGAAGGGGCTCGTGCCTGAACACTGGGGAAGTGGCCCGGGTCAGGGCCAGGCTGGCTCCAGAAAGGAGCCTGGTCGGGTTCTTATGGGGCGGGTGGAAGTGGTCCCACCTGGCAGTGCTCAGGGACTATTCCTGGCTCTCCTGTGCTCAGGAGTAACCCCCCCCCCCCAGTGGTGCCTGGGGGAGCATGTGCAATTCCAGGGATTGAATTGGGGTCTGTGGGCCAGCCGAAGTAGTAGCCACATGCATAGCAAATGCCTTGCCTGCGGTTCTCTCTGTCCCAGGGCTTTCAAACTCTTGCACCCGGGGCCCCTCCAGTCTGGAAGCTCCCTTGTTTGTTGCCCGGAAATGCTGTACTCAACTCCAGGAACAGCACCGGGCCCCTGACCCAGGCATGCCTGATTGTGACTTTTTCTTTTGGTTTGTTTTGGGACCACACTTGGTGATGCTCAGAGGTTATTCCTGGCTCTGCATTCCAGGATCAGTCCTGGCAGTACTCAGGGTGTATACGGGATGCTGGGGATCGAACCTGGGTTGGCCACATGCAAAGCAAATGTCTTACCCTCTGGTCTATCCCTCTGGCCCCAGAATTGTGATTTTTTTCTTAAAATTATCAATGATTCATTTATATTATGTTGACTAGAATATACATATTCTTTATAAATCTTGGCTCAATTATGCCATCATCAGTGTCATCTAAAAGACTGACAACGAATTTGATGAGAAAGGTACTGCTTGGCAGGACCCCACACAGGGAGTCAGGACTCTCTGGAGAAGCTTGATGGTGATAAGACTTTCTCACATAGCATGAGGAAAAGGTGAGACCTCTCACTTGGCAAAAGCTCTGTCACTTCAAATACGTAAACTAGAAAAGAAGTAAAACTTAAAATCAGCAAGCCAGTTGGCCAGCTCGAAAAGCTTGAAGGCCAACAGTTAAACAGAAGGAAAATGAAAAAGTTAAACAGCATCTAATGAAAAGCAAATATGTTCAAGGGAAGCCAGACACTCGCTTGTCTGGAATAGGTCAACAAACTTGATAATCATCTGATAAAACAACCAAAGAGAGAAAACAGATACAACAGTGTCGGGAGTGGGGAACAGATAGTAAGAGAATATTGTGACTGCTCTTGCACTCAGTAGGGTATTTTTCTCTTTCTTTCTTTCTTTCATTTTTTAATTTATTTTAATTTTTTAATTGAATCACCGTGAGATATAGTCACAAAGCTTTCATGTTTGGGTTTTAATCATACAATGATCAAACACCCATCTCTTCAGCAGTGTACATTTTCCACCACCAATGTCCCAGTATCTCTCTCTCCACCCTCACTCCATCCCACCCACTACCTCTGCGGCAGGCACCTTCCTTCTTACTCTCTCTCTACTTTGGGGCATTATGGTTTGCAATACAGATACCGAGAGGCCATCATGTTTGGTCCTTAGTCTACTTTCAGTCTACTGTGCTGAAAGTAGGCTAAGGACCAAACCCTACACATCTCCCATCCCAAGCAATCCTTCCAACCATCATTGACTTAGTGATCCCTTCTCTATCCCTGCTTCCTTCCCCCCCATCTCATAAGGCAGGCTTCCAACCATGGAGCAATCTTCCTGGCCCTTGTCTCTACTGTCCTTGGGTGTTAGTCTCCTATTATGTTATTTTGTATTCCGCAAATGCACTCAGTAGGTGTGCATGAAATAGGAAGCTGCAGCTTATGCAAACAAACAGTGGAGTCCCCTGGGGACCTTAGATCTCCTGCTGTGCTCAGGCTCCACAACTGGTGAGGAATCTGAGTGGTCTCTGGGCATTGGTATTTGTTTTATTTTATTATTAATTTTTGTTGGTTGGTTTGGGGCCATATCCAGCCATGCTCAGGGCTTACTCATGGCTCTATACTCAGGAATTACTCCTGGCCATGCCCTATGGGATGTGGGGGATCAAACCTGGGTCTGCTACATGCAAGGTAAACACCCTACCCGCTATACTATTGCTCCGACACTGGGTATTTGTTTTAATTTGCAGATGGTTATAGTGTGCAGTCAGGCGCAAGAACCACTCATTATAAAGAGAAACATGCATATCTGAAATTCATTCTCTGTGCCATACACAGAATTAATTGGAACATTCTCCTCCCATGCAGCCCAAGATTTCTCTACATGTGGCCAAACGCCCGGATCTCCGTGATGGGAGGCGAGCAAGCAGCCAATGTGTTGGCCACAATAGCGAAGGACCAGAGAGCGCGGGAAGGGAAACAGGTATGACCATCATCCCTGTCTCCAGGCAGGTGCACACCCACACGTGTCCCAACTGACCACGTCCTTCCACCAGGCCAGGCCGGGCTCTCTTAGAAGATGGTGATTTGGAACATTTTCTGCCTCCTCTTCCTTTTTCTCCTTCTCCTCCTCATTATTATTTATTCAGTAGCATCTTTGATAGAGGCATTTAATTTGAAGTCTCTCTGTCTGTTCATCCTCCCTCCCTCCCTCCCTCCCTCCCTCCCTTCCTCTCTTCCTTCCCTTCCTCCTCCTCCTTCCTTCCTTCCTTCCTTCCTTCCTTCCTTCCTTCCTTCCTTCCTTCCCTCCTTCCTTCCTTCCCTCCCTCCTGCCTCGCCTCTCCTTCCTCCTTCCTTCCTTCCTTCCTTCCTTCCTTCCTTCCTTCCTTCCTTCCTTCCCTCTTCTTTCTTTCTTTCTTTCTTTCTTTCTTTCTTTCTTTCTTCTTTTCTTTCCCACACTGGCTGTGCTCAGGGCATGCTCCTGGCTCTGTGCTCAGGGATTACTCCAGGTGGGCTGGGGGAATCAGACCCACTTCAGCCACACGCAAGGCAAGTGCCCTGCCCACTGTACTATCACTCTGGTGCTTGAGGTACTTGATGCTCATCAAAGTTTTTCAGAGTTTCCAAGGAAGCACTTCAGAAGCTCCGTGCTGAGTAGCTGTAGGCATCAAGATGTTTGATTTTTGCGTCATAGAGAGATTTAAATAAAACCAATTTGCTTCTTTGGTTATATGACTGAAAGCAGCGGGATTGTGGAGTTAATTTTCCCCCTGTTTTACGTTTTGATTGTTAAAGATACCTTGAGTGGGAGGGTCCAGTCATCTGACAAGACTCAAGTGACATTGTTATTAGGCTGAAAATAGAAATGAAGAAAGATGGAAAGGGCAGCTTGATAAAGACAAATCCGCAAGTGGCTGCATTTCAGATGCAAAAAACAAAGTTGGGGGACATATCTGGTGGTGTTTTTTGGGGGAACTCCTCCTGGCTCAGTGCTCCGGGATCACTCCTGGTGGTGCCCATGGGACCATGGAATGCTGAGTCTGAAACGGGGGCTCCCTCATTGTGAAGCGTGCACTTCAGCCCGCCGAGCTGTCTCTCTGACCCCCGGTTCTTACCTGTGTTTCTCTGCTGGAGAGCCTCCTGAGCTCTGCCTCAGTGTCTGGGCCATGTGGACCGAGTCTCAGGCATGGGGTGGTGACTTGTCCACTCCACTTCTCTTGGACGCGCTGACGGAGGAGGCGCCGCCCTCTCGACCTGCCCTTCCTGTGTGATCTCAGCCACTGGCTCTTTTGTGGAGGGGGGGTGCTTCTGATCCCCCCAAGTGCACCTGCCCTCAACTGCCAGCCCCAAGAGCCTGGAAGCTTTAGAGCTGCTCTGCCTTGTCCCAAAACTAACAGGAAGATTGAGATTCTCCCTGATGCTCTGGAGACTCGCCCTGAAGTACAGCCCTGCCCTCTGTGATTCAGAAACTGCTCTTTGCTTGGGCTGATGTGCAGAGAGAGGAATTCTTCAGTTGCACACGTGAAAAGAAAGTCCGTGGGGCTGGAGAGAGAGGACAGTCGGTAGGGCACTTGCCCTGCACTCAGCCCACCTGGGGCTGATCTCCGGCAGCCCACCTGGTCCCCTGAGCACGGCCAGGAGTGAGCTGAGTGCAGAGCTGAGTGTAGGCCTTGAGCACTGCTGGGTGTGGCCCCCAAATTAAAAAAACCAACAAACAAAAAAGCAAAGAAGAAAGTACTTGATTTTAGTTCTTTTGTCTTCCAAAATCTTGACTATAGATGATATGGAGCCGTTCAAACACATACGGAAGTTTGGATTGATTTGAAAGGACCCATTTGTGTGTGGTGTGAAATGGTTTTATCTGGGAACCTTCCAGGAGGTGTTTAGGGTCCATTTGGGGCCACTTCCTGCCATCCTGGGCCACTGGACTGGGCAGTTCAGTGCTAGGGACCACCCCACCACCACCACCACATCCCATCTGGGACCACCAAGGGCCATGTCCAGCTGTGCTGGGAGGGAAGGGGGTGCAGGGAGCAGCAGCCCCACTTCATGGCCCAGCCCCTGCAAGCACACATCCCTGACCACTGCGGTATCTCCCTGTCCCCTGGAATATTTCTTCTGACGGGGGGTGGGGGGCGCAGGGAGGAAGCACACCTACCTGTGCTCTGGGGACCACTCCTAGAAGGACTCAGGTGGTGGTGCCAGGAATCAAACCCGGGTCAGCCATGTTCAAGGCAAGTGCTATACTGTGGCTCTAGCCCCTGGAATTAATTTTTTTAAATTTCAGATACTTCTCAGGGTTTCAGAATTAGTTGGCATGAGGACTTTTACGTCCGAGTTAGTCATCACTTTTCCTGTAGCAATAATGATGGATAAACCATCATCACATTAGGGGAAATTATACTCCAGTTCCCAGGGAAATGGACCAAAGAGGTGACTGCAGGTGTGATTGATGCTTTATTCCCTTTCTCTTGTTTTCCAATGGTTTTTAGCTGCTCCCAATGCTGCGGCTATTTGGGGGTCCTCTTTGGGCGAGTTGCATGATGTCCTCTCTCTGATAGCTGCGCTCAACATTTCCCACACATGCAAAGCCTGTGCTCCAGCCCTTGAGCCCCGTTCCTTATCCATACATTTATCCTTTTTAAAATTTTTGTTTTTTTTACTAAAGTGCTGTACTCAGCAAAGGTATTCATAGTTGAGTTTTAGACATATAACATCGCAGCACTGATCCCCCTCACCAGTGTCAACTCCCTCCAGCAATGTTCCCAGCTTCCCTCTTCTCTCCAACTATATCCCCCCTCACCTCCAGTCTGTCCCGTTGACAGGCACCTTTCTGAGTTTAGTTGTTCCAGTTTGGGTGTCTTGATTTCAGTGTTGTTGACTCTGTGGTTTGGGTATTTGACTCTGTCATTCCTGAACACCATCTTTGTACCTTAGTCCCCTGACCTGACCCCCATTGCTTCTCATCTGTCTCTTCTCCCCTTCCCCTCCATGCTTTCTTTCCTTCTCCTGCCTCCCTCCTTTGGGGATCTACATTATTTTTTAAAAAGGGTGGTTTTTTTTTCATTTTTATTAGCGAAACACCATGAGGTGCAGTTGTAGACTTACAAATTTTTGTGCTTGGGTTTCAGTTATACAATGATCAAGTACCCATCCCTCCACCAGTGCCCGTTTTCCACCACCACGGATCCCAGTATCCCTCCCACCCCCCAACTCCTCCATCCCACCCTGCCTCTGTGGCAGGGCATCCCTTTTGTTCTCTCTCTCTCCTTTTGGGTGCTGTGGTTTGCAAAAGAGGCATTGAGTGGCAATCATGTTTGGTCTATAGTCTACTTCCAAAAAGGGTGTTTATTTTGAATGAAGATCCCCTACTTTCCTGTCTCCCAAAACCGAGGCTGTTAAAGGAACATGGCCTGGTACTGGACTGTGTGAGTCACCCAGCCACTGTCCATGCCTGGGTCAGGCCTTCAATGGGAGACCTGAGCACCCCAGGTGGATGCGGGCTCTGTATTCAGAAATCTGAGGTCCCCTTATTCTCGAGGTTCCCTGGAGTGACTCCAGTGGTGCTCCCGGGCACCAACCAACTGACGCCTGCCTTTCTCTTTCAGTTCTCCAGTGCGGATGAGGCAGCTCTCAAAGAGCCCATCATGAAGCGCTTTGAAGAGGAAGGGAACCCCTACTATTCCAGTGCCAGGTGGGGACCCCCGCGGTCAGGATGGTGGCCCCATGGGTGGGTGGTCGAGCAGCTGTGAAGGACGCAGTCCCCTACCCCCCTGCATATCCCTAGATCCCATGGAGATCCCCCTCCAGCACTGGCACAGTTGTCCCCCTGAATGGGTGGGTTTTCAGCGGCTGGAATGCCCCTTCTCTTGGGCCCTCAGAACCCACCCCAGTGGGGGCATCATCAGGGCATAGGGGAGTTCCAACAGGGGGCGGGCACTTTGAGCAGTTAGTTCTCATCGTTTCATCAAACCCAGAAGTATGGCCTGGTGACTCTTCGGAGACACGGCTCTTCCCAGTTGGGAGCCTGGCGGTGATGGCGTGTGCTAACTGGCACCTAGCAGTGAGCCCCTGGGCGTAGAAGGCGATTTGCCCCGGCTGGGCTATGTGTCAGTGCTCAGACATCCCTCAGCCCGGCGCAGCTCCAGGGGCTGTTTCTTCTGCCCCTTGATGAGCCAATCAATGCACACCCCGGAGTGTGCTTGCAGCCTCTCCTTGTCAACAGCAGCAGCGTTTCTTTATTCTGATGAATGGCACAAGCAGCGTCTTCCGCTTCCTCCCCTGGGCAGATAGAACAAAGGAAAGAAAGATCCGTGTCTTGCAGAATAAGGTTCTGATGGATGAGGACAAGGGAGAAAACTCGTGATAAAACTCAGGACAATCTGTTTCCTTCAGTCCTTGGGACATACCATCGTAGCCCTGCTCTCGGCACTGGGGGTAAAAAGACTGAATTTTTTTTTTAAGTTGTTCACTGTGATTTATTACATTCAGTATAAAGACTGAATGAATATTCTGGGACTGGAGCGATAGCACAGTGGGGGGTAGAGCATTTGCCTTGCGGCTGACCTGAGTTAGATTCCCAGCATTCCATATGATTCCTGGAGCACCACCGGGAATAATTCCTGAGTGCATGAGCCAGGAGTAACTCCTGTGCATTGCTGGGTGTGCACCCCTCCCCCCCAAAAAAAAAGATCGAATGGTTTTTTGTTGTTGTTGTTGTTTTTTGCTTTTTGGGTTACACCTGGTGATGCACAGGGGTTACTCCTGGCTCATGCACTCAGGAATTACTCCTGGCGGTACTCAGGGGAGCATATAGGATGCTGGGAATCGAACTCAGGTCAGCCGCGTGCAAGGCAAACGCCCTACCCACTATACTATCACTCCAGCCCCAAGACTGAATATTCTTAAAGAACAAACTTTAGTCTTTGAGAAATAAATTATTATTCTTTAAACCCTCACATAAACACAATAGCCAGTAAAAGCAAAAAAGAAATAGAAAACCATGGGAAAGGCTTGAGAAAATGTACATTTTATACTCAGAGTTTTGATTCTTTTTTTTTCTTTTTTTTTTTTTAAGTGGAAGATTTTTGGTAGAAGTTCACAGTATTAAATTTTGAAAAATAGCATATTTTGTGTGAGCCCTTCATTGGATTTTCAGCCCTGGCGGAGAGAAGTCATCTCCTGAGAAAGGCTGGATCCTTTATTATTTCCATCTGACATTAGTATTTTTCAGTGGATTATCGGCTGGAGAGCAAATGGCCCGGGTAGACTTATCTCTGAAAACAAAGGCAGAGAGACAGCAGGGTTTCTGCAAATTTCTCCATCATGCCTAGCTCTTGTGTTGAAGCACTTGGTGGCAGAGAATCAGCAACACCCTTTCAAAGACAAAAGGATTGCCAGGCCAGTGCAAGTCTTCTTTAGGCTTCAAAGCCTAAAAAATTGAGAAAATGTATTTTTGTAAGTTGTAAATTTTGTAAAATGTAAATTGAAGCTATCTGTTTGGGGAGCTCTGTCCTACCGGCTCCTATAGATTCTCATGTCTTGTTCTACCCTTACATGGAATACACTCATTTTCTTCTGATTGGTGGGTATTATGATCAGACTTTCATCAGGCATATAGCTCATTAGGGTCTCTTTCGAAAGCCATCATTCGGGGTGAGGGGCCACACCCAAGAACTACTGGATCAATGACAAGGGGATAGAGATCTCTTCCAGTGGTGCTTGGGGCCCTGTGGTGCTGAGGATTGAACCTGGGGCTCCAGCATGCTAAACGCACACTCCAGTCCCTGGAGCCATCTCCCCAGCCTTGGGAACCATCTCTCAGTGTCCATTGATGGACCAGCCTCTTGCTATGCTCTCTGCTACAGGCTTCATAGGGAGTGTGATAAGTTGACCTGGATACAAATTACAGCAGTGGTCCTTTTTTTTAATTAGCTGTGGATACCTCAGGGTCCCTATTATGAAGGTTTTATGGGCAAAGATCTGATGCATGGTCCTTCAGTGTGAGCATGTTTAAAAATTGATGCTCTGTCCGGATGCTGATGGCAGTTTGTTGTTAGTAAGCAGAGTGCCCCCTACTCGGAGTGCCTCTAAAAGGCTATTGCTCTCATTCATTCCTCTTTATAAATTTAAAGTCATTGGTCCAAAGTGAACTAGAATGTCTGCCTAAGATTCTGTTGGAAGCAGTTTCAAAACTACCACTTATTGCTGCAAAAATTTAAGAATTAACTATCCCCATGTTTTATTGATAAGACTGTACTGAAGTCTGTTCAGTTTGTTGTGTGTGTGTGTGTGTGTGTGTGTGTGTGTGTGTGTGTTTAAGTGTTTGAGGGGCTGGTGAGATAGCACAGCAGGTAGGACGTTTACCTTGCATGCGGCCAACCCAGGTTCGATTTCCAACATTGCATATGGTCCCGAGACCGGAAGGAGTAACTCCTGAATGCAGAGCCAGGAGTAACCCCTGTGCATTGCTGGGTGTGACCCAAAAAGCAAAAAAAAAAAAAAAAATAGGAGTTTGAGAGTTGTTCATTAGAAATTGGTTTGAGATCATTCCTCAGGCTTAAGTGTTTCTGCACTTTAGTAGTTGAAAGGACATCAGCTTGATTTGTATGTTTGTGCGGGCAGAAGAGGGGCAAAAACGCCTTTTCTGATACCAGCAGAAATACTTTTGACTCAGGGATTTGTTTGAGGGTTTTGTATCACAGCAGCTCCTGGAGCTATATACTCTGTATGACATTCGGTGGGACCTGGCAGGGAAGTCTTGGCAGTTCTTTTTCTTCTTATCTTTTCTTTTCTTTTTTGTTTTGTTTTGTTTTGATTTTTGGACCACACCTGGCACTACTTAGGGCTTACTCCTGGCTCTGAGCTCAGGGATCACTTCTGGTGGTCCTCAAGGGACCATAAAGGGTGCTGGGGATTGAACCCAGGTCAGCCACGTGCCATGACTTCCAGGGCTGGAGCAATTATTGCAGTGGCTACAGCTCTGGCCCTGGAAGTCTTGGCATTTATCCTCCCTTTGCCCCTTCCTTGAGGGAGGTTTCTGTTGTCTGAGGTGACAGCACTGATTGACTATTCAGGACGGCTGTGCCTGAGCTGAGGGGACACTGGTGTTTTGGGGTATGGAGGACAGAGACGGCTAAGTGCAGTTGGGGTCCTGATAACTCTCATCGTCTTCTCTCTCAGGCTGTGGGATGATGGAATCATAGACCCAGCAGACACCAGACTCGTCTTGGGTCTCAGCCTGAGCGCCGCACTCAACGCTCCCATCCCGAAGACTGACTTTGGCGTCTTGAGGATGTAACTGCAGTCTAAGGCAGCTTCCGTTGGACATGTGTCCAAAATGAACGCATTAGTAGCCTTAACATTCTAGACTTAAAAACAAACAAACAAACAGAGGTTATTATAGTAAGATCTTTAATTTTTCTCTTTCTTTTTTTTTTTTAAAAACACAGTGCTTTGTACTTTTCTAAGTTAAAACCCAGTAAGGTGATTGATGGGATGACTCTAAATTCCTTGTAAGTGTCCTCAGTTTTCTGCAGCTCAGCTGTACCACCCGTCGACGAAGAGAGTCACAGAGTGGTTCTTCCTTAATAGCGGGAAGAGTTCCGTTATCTTGCTGATTCCAAGTATCAATCTCTGAGGTTATGAAAGTGTTCCACTGAAATCATTTTGATTGTGCACAATTTTTTTTCACACACTTTTTTTTTTAAAAGATCTCTATTTCTTCTAAGAGTCAGACTTTCCATTGTGTGCCACCTGGCTCTCCTTACTCCGTTACCCTCAGCCCTCTCCAAGGTTGTGCCACTGAGCGTCTCATGGCTCTACTCTCATGCGTGTGCCTTCCAAGCACTCCACATGCCCTCCTCCCCCAAATGCCATTCTCTGCTGCCATGCCAGGCCTTTCTCTAGGTTTTGCTCCGGCCTCCCTGCTGTTCGCAGTCAGCACCTTCGTAGCCCCCCTTTCTTTCCCATTCACCTCCAGGTCACCGTTTTAATGAATTTTAACTCAGAAACTGTGAATCTATTCTTTTTCTAAAGGATATACAGATTGCACAAAAGTATTTCCTCATTCTCTGCCCTTTGAAGTAGATTCAGTAGGAGAAGCCCCAGAGCTTCTGCCAGTGCCAGGGGTGGAAATCAGGGCCTCATGTGGGCAGGGCACACACTCCTTCCTGTTATGGCATCTCCCGAGACACTGCCTTGAAGGCTCTCCCGATTGTCCCCCAAGCCCTGGCCCCACGAAGCACAGGTTATCTGCAGGATTGGCTTTATACTCCTCAGGCGTCAAGCTCTGTTGACTTTGCTTCCTTGTGCTGGCCTTTCCCCACTGTTTTTGTCTTCCGCTCCCAAGGGCTGTAGCTGTGATCCCCCTGCCTGCAGCCTTCCCCATCGGGATCCAGCTATGCTAGACTCTGTCCAGTTCTGTGAACCCACAGAATGTCTCCCACCCGAGGGCCTCCTCTTGCCTCCACTGTCGTCCTCTCCCTTCTTCATCGGCACTTAGCCATTGTGCCTGGTCCTGTTCTGGTGGGGCAGGCCTTGGCTCTGTGCTTTCCCAGCACTGTCCACTCCCCCGGCACACACTCATGGCGGGCATCAGTGTCTCTTGGTTCTTTTTGCCCAGATCTCCAGTGCCTGGTCTTTCCAGTTCAGATGGGTTGAGTGGGGGTGGGGAAAAAAGCAGATTGTCATTGTTCGGCTCAAGCCACATGGCTCTGGAATGCAAATGATTTATCATCAGATGAATAGAAGTATCAGAGGCTTTCCTAATAAAATCAGTATTTCTGAAAGTTGTATGTTCATGCAAGACTGCCTCTTTGTGTATCAGGGAGTCATAATTTTGAGATGTGTAGCATAGATGATCAGCACTGAACGGTAATGTTTCAAGAAGGAACATGGGCTGGAATGATTGTACAGTGGATAGGAAACCTGTCTTGCATGCAGCTGACCCAGGTTCGACCCCCAGAATCCCATAGGGTCCCCTGTGCACAATCAGGTGTGATAACTGAGCACAGAGCACAGAGCCTAGAGTAAGCCCTGAACGTCACTGAATATCCCATCCCCCCCCAAAAAATAAAGGGAAAACAGCAAATCTTGTATTTGGGGGGTGTCACATGTGGTGCTGTGGGACTACTTACAGCTCTGTGCTCTACGGTTGTTCCTGGTGGCACTATGGGGGACCATGGGTTCAGACTGGGGCCTCCTATATGCACAGCATGTGTACTGCCTATTGACCCATCCAGTCCCTGCATTCATTTCATTTTTTTTTTCATCATCCTGTTAATCGTCTATTGCCTCGAGCAGGCCCCAGTAACGTCTCTTTCACCCTAGCCCTGAGATTATATTCACGGCTCTTTAGGAGAATGAGACCCATCATTGTTACTGGTATTTGGCATATTTGGTATGCCACGGGGAGTTTGCCAGACTCTGCCCTGTGGGCAGGCTACATCCAATAGCCTGCAAGTTTGTCCAAAGTAGGAATGAGATAATGAGTCCCTGCATTAAGAAAAGATTTATCTGTGTGTGTGTGTGTGTGTGTGTTGTCTTTATTTTTACTTTATTTTTACTCTCCCCTTCTCTTTTTTTCTTATGGTTGTCATGATGACCAGGAGTCCTACTTGTTTGTGGCATCTGAGATCTCACAGAAACACCGACACTGAACTTAGGGGCCAGGGAGGTAGTTCAGGGGTTAAGGCACATGCCTTGCATGCAGTAGCCCCCAGAGGGCCACTGGGTGTGGCCTGGAGGCTCTGAGTGCGGCTGGGTGGCCCACGCCGCACAGCATCTTCGGGCCCTCACATTGAACCACCGGCCACAGGTGGGAGGAATCGCTGAGGGGGCCCTTGTGCCTCCTGAGCACCACTCTGGCATCTCTCTGCACCCTCCCACCCCTCGCCCAAGACAAAAGATTGCGCTTGGTGTGTAGTGTAGTGTTGGAGGTTGACATCCCTTGCCTGAAATGTGGCCCCTCGCCACTGAGCATTTCCAGGGGGTCCGCAGTATTTTGAATTGAAAAAGGCATCACTGGCTATTTCACCAGTGACCTAAAAGCAAAACTACCAATTTTCTTTTTCTTTTTCTTTTTAAACATTTTCAGTTAAAATTTGTATCTGTGTCAGGAACAAAATGATTTAAAAAAAATTATTTATTTTGCTTTTTTTTGTCACACTGGGCGATGCACAGGAGTTACTCCTGGCTTTGCACTCAGGAATTACTCCTGGCAGTGCTTCGGGAACCATATGAGATGATGGGGATCGAGCCCAGGTCAGCCACATGCCAGGCAAACTCCCTACCCACTGTACTACCGCTCCAGCCCCACGGTTTTCTTTTCTTTTTGGTTTTGAGTCACACTTGGAGGTGTTCAGGGCTTACTCCTGACGTGCTCAGGGATCACTCCTGGTGATCTGGAGGCCTAGTTGCATCCAAGGCAAGCATCTTTCCCACTGTTCTCTCACCCGCACTTCCGAATGATTGCCTTTATTAAAACATCATAGTTCTTCAGAAGGAACCATGAGTGGGTCGGAAATATGTGGATATTTTAGGAATAATTTTCCCTTAGGAAAACACCACACTAAAACCATTTGACTATCAAAACGTTAAAATGATTGGATTTTTAAAAAATATATACTTGCCTAATTAAATACATTCATAACACTTTACCAAAGCAAGCAGACTTTCTCTCTGTACTAGCTTTCTTGAACTATAATTGCAGACCTTAAGACCGTGAGTACACGGGTCAGTGCTTTGAGATGTGTGGTGTGAGAGTCTCATGATTACTTCACACATTGTTACCTCATAGAGCTGCCATTTCTCATAGTAATATAGTTTTTAGTCTTTTATGTACTTTAGAACAGCATGGGTAATTTAAGACATATACAGCTAGTCTCAGCCTCTCTGGGTACTTAAAGAATGAGAAGGAGACAAAACTTTTCAGTTTTTAGGAAAATTGTTTTCAAATTATGTTATCGAAGAAAGTGTCTTTTGACACTCTCAGAGGGGGCCACCGTTGACCATGTGAGTGACGGGGTGAGCACATGCCTCTTTTCCAGGACAGGGTGTAGCTGGGGGCTCCCTTGGCATGTTTCCCAGCATTTCATTGACTATAACATTTTCTTTCTTTTTGGTTTTTGAGCCACACCCGGTAGTGCTCAGCGCTTACTCCTGACTCTGTACTCAAGGATGACTCCTGGCAGTGCTCGGAAGGCCATATGGGGTTTTGGAGACGGAATCCGGGTTGGGTTGGCCACGTGCAAGGCAAGCAGCCTAGATGCTGTACCACTGGCTCTGGCCCCTCGCTTTGATAGTTTCCAAGGCTAGCACAAGTTCTTCTTCCAAAACGCACTGTGGAAGGTCCTGATCAAAGTCAATTATTTTTGTTTTGGTTTGATTTGAGGGCCACTACCTGGCTGTGCTCAGGGCTTACTCCTGGTCCTGTGCTCAGGGGTCATTCCTGGGGGGAACTCGGGTACCAATTGGGGTGCTGGGGACTGAATTTGTGACAGGCGACCACGTTAACCCTTGGGTTAAGCCCTAGTTTGATTGTTCTCATAAGCCAGCATGCCAGACACCTGCTTCATGCTGGTTAGTAGTTTAAATGAGTCTTTCCTGGAGCCAGGCTGATTGTCAGTGAGTAGGGTGTTTTCCTTGCATGCAGCTGACCCAGGTTTGATTCCCAGCATCTCATATAGTCCCCTGAGCATCGCTAGACATGACCCTTGACTGAAGCCAGGAGTATTCCCTGAGCACTACCGGGTTTGCACCCAAAATGGAAAAATAAGTGAAAGAGCCCATCTCAATTCTTTTGCAATTCTTAGCACAACCATCTTCGGTTGTGCTAAGCACTTTCCACATTCTACTCAGCAATACACAGTTCCTACCTCAGGGAGCCTGATGGGAAACTGAACAAGGATGACCCATTCTTCTGCTCTGTCACAGTTAATTTCATTCACATGAATATGGATGATGGTGATGATGACAGACTCCTACTCGGTATTCAGGAGGCCTGGGGCCCATTTTGGTTATCCTTTGCCTTCAGGCCAGTGGCTCAATGTCAGAACCAGAGGATGTGGTGCTGAGGCTACCCAGAGACCTGGCATTGCTTGAGGGCCTCTGTGGACCATGTGATGCTCAGGATTGAACCAGACTTGGCCATGTGCAAGGCATGCACCCCAAGCTCTGTACTGTCTCCATCCCCTCCTGCTTTGGGTCAGGTTTGAGATGTTAGAGGCCCATGAGACTGGCCCCATCCTTATGCAGCGGCGCGTTTATTTTCACTAGGTGGCCCCATGTGTCCTGTTTCCAAGTGAGGCGTGTGGGCCACCTGAGCATCAGTGGCTGTGCTTTTGGTGGGGCTTGAGGGGGATGTGCCTTGCATCTCCCGGAACCCAACCCAGACCCCCGTTATGCAGGGAATGTGTTCTTCCACATGATCCACATTCCCGGCTCCACTAGCTCGTCTGGGCAGCCACACCCTCTCCTTGGGAAGTCCCTGCTCCTCTGTGTGTCCAGGTGAGTGTGTCAAGCACAGAGTTGCGGCCTGTGTGCCTGGCGGAAGTCTGGAACAAAGGTGGCAGCTGATGTCTCTGGGGTTCAGGGCACGTGGTCAGCTCATTCCTGTCCAGCTTCCTGGAACTACCCAGGGAACTAGGGCCTTGCCCCAAAGAGCCTTGTCACCCCATATTCATCCAGTGGCCTCTTGGGGGGACATAGCCCCCTAGGTTCCTCCCTGACATAGTGCTGAGCTATGCTCATAATAGGTGCTCAGTAAGTATTAGGTGTATTAGCGAATGTGTTCACAGGGTAAGAAAGCAGATGGAGTTTGACAGGTCAGAAGTTGGATCTGCACAGAGATGAGCCTGGGTGCACCATCTCTCTCCAGCCAACCTTTGGGGGAGATGCTTACACGATGAACATTTGAGTCAGCCAAGGGGAGACTGTGGTGGCTGTGGTAAGGGACAAGAGCAAGAAACGAGGCCATTGTCTCAAAGTTACCCATTGTCACTCCAAAGCTGAGGCTAGAAATGAGTTGATTTTGTGACTTTCAGTCTGGCAGCATTCCTATATCTGAGGTTCTAGGGTCAGAACATGAAGAGCGGGAACTGCACCTTGGGTTTGAATCTTCAGTTCCGTTACTTGCTACTTTTAAAACATTGTTATTGCAAGCCAGAGTGATAGTGCAGCAGGTAAGGCATTTGCCTTGCACATGGCCGACTCAGGTTCAGTTCCCCACAATCAGTGTTGTTCCCTGAGCCTGCCTGAAGTAATTCCTGAGCAGCACTGGGTGTTACTCCAAAACCAAACCAAACCCCCAATACAATGTTATTGCAAGGTGGGAGATATAGTACAGGGGTTTAGGTGTTCGTATGCAAGAGGGTGACCTGGGCATAATCCAAGGCACCACAAATGGTCCCCTCAGCACTTCTAGGAGTGATCCCTGAGCACAGAGACAGGAGTAAGCCCTGAGCACCGTCAGATTTGACCCACCTGATGCCTCGAATTGTTACTACTCTTTTTGGAGCAACCATTCTTGTGAGGCTTGAGGGGATGTGTGGTGCTGTACCACCGGTTCTTTCGTTTGGGGAGTAAGTGATTCCGATTCTGTGCCTCAGTTTGTTTCCAGTTGAGATGATTAAGTGACCCCATGTTATTTTATCACGATCATGATCACGATCATCCTGTTGTTCGTCGATTGCCTTGAGCAGGCACCAGTAACGTCTCCTTTGCCCTAGTCCTGAGATTTTAAAAAGTGCCATATTCAAGGCTCTTTCAGGGTTAGGAGAATGAGACCCATCATTGTTACTTA